GGAAGAGAGAATCTCTAAGACGGCTTTTTACTAACGAAGAAAAAACGTTCTACGTATTTCGTTTGCGGGGAAAACGGAAGGCGAAAGGACGACGTTTACTATTTTTCTAACGGATGGCGATTACTTTCGGTCACCCGACGTCCGATGGCGAAAAACGTTTCGACGGGCGCCGGGTCGATAGAAACCGCCGATGACGATTTACGAAATTACTAACGGCGAGTAATAAAAATGGAAACGCCTTTGGTGGCGTAATTTTTCTTCGGAGCCCGGTAACGGCCGGGAAAGGGTGCCGTAAGGAAAAGAATGCGGCCATTAAGCGCCATCAAAGAATATAAACTCGCGAAATTAAATACGAAATTTTAGCGTCACAAACGTCGATTTACTTGACCGTCCGACGAATAAATACGAGGAAAACCTTCACCCGCCGGTATTTAAATACAATTATCGGATAAAATTCTTAAATGGAAAAGAGTTTCCTCGGCCGGTAAAATTCCTATTCCCGCGTTAATTTATACACAGTTTGGAATTTAAAACATAAAACTAGATTACGTCTTTCTTTAAATAGGACGCGGATGTAGTTCGGTACTTTTAATATAAACGCCGGATTTTAAACCGGGCGGAATTGTCGGTAGGAAATGCCTAGGGAATTTTGCTGGGGGGTCCTTTCCACGGACCTTTCTCTAAACTCTTAGTTTTAATTCTGGTAAAACGAAATGGTACCGACGTAGGCGATTTTCGTGCCATTAATTCTTCTCCGATTTACTTTGGCCATAAAAATATAACCGAATGTGATGAAATTTGATTTATAAAATTAACGACTTATAAATTATTCGAAGGTCTTCCCTATTATCGCGTTATTTATGCCTAAACGTATGGCGGCTTTCGGCCTTGGCGTTCGTTTTCTCCCGTATTCTTAGTCGATTAAAACTTTCGTAGACCTCGTTTCGACCATAAAACCTGTAAATACGCTAAACGACACTTTGGTAGAGTCGAAAAGTAAAAAAGGCGTTTGTAAGTGGGAAGGCGCGCAAGTCGGCCTTTCTAACGCTACGCCGTGTCCCATATTCTTACCGCGTTTATTTCCAGAACGATTTATCGCGTTGCTACGTATCCAATACTCGACTCGTCTCCTCGCTTAGTTACGCGCGCATTTTCTAATTATATCGTTCTTAACGATTGGCGCCAAAGTCGCCAATACTTCCGACTAATCTCCTTATCGAAAACTAAACTTAATTTTTTAATTACTAAATTCGCCACTCGTAATAAAATTTATAATGACGTCGGGGGCTTTTACCGGAAGCGTCTGTAGAAAGAGAACCGACGTACCAAAATGGCTATCGAAATAATAAGTTATGGATTTTTAAAGTAATTACTATAATTGTCACAAACATATAAAACCGAGAAAGGAAAAATGTCCGGCCAACGTCTCTTTAACAAAATGTTCTTCGCTTTCGAAGACCGGACAAGGGAGCCTGGACGCCACCGCCGGTCCTAAGCGGGACGAGAAGAATTCTCATTTTCTCCCCCGACTCGTTACGCTCGATCGTCGTCCGACCGGATTCCAAGTTTCGTCTTCTCTCCGTATTTTCCATAATTTCATCCCGTCGGAAAGCCCATTTATTGTTTTTCTGGCCATTTCCAGAAATTCTTCTTCCTCCGAGAATTAATTAAATTTTCGTTAACGCCATTTGGTGGCGTTGTCTTAAGAAGCGGTAAAAGAAATCGGATAAATAATTTTTTCCGGATAGAAATTGGTCTTAACCGAGAAGAGAGAAACGCCCGACTCGGGTTCGACGCCTTCTTCCGACGAATTTCCGTCCATCGCCACCGCTTCTTCCGCCGTTTTAGGAATTTATCCACTGTTAATCGTTGTATTTGGTGGAAAAACGAAATAAATGCTTACGCCATGGAAACCGGGGAAAAAAGACGGCGAATTACGGGATTTTTCCCATTATTTCGTCGATGCCGGGAATTTCTTTTCGAAGAAACGCCGGAAAAAATTCGTTGGATGCTAACGAAATATTTCATCGACCTCTCGACTCGAAAATAATCGTCATTTTTTGACCAGCGAATGTAAGTAAATTCCTTCGTTAGTTACAAAAGTTTTCTTACTTAATGAGATTTTCTCTTATTTTACGACAATTCCCGGGTTTTCTTCCAGTTAGTAACGTCTTAATTTCCCGTAAAAGACCTCCCGCCGGATAATTCCCCTCGGAGGGCGCCGCCGTAGACCGATAGGACCGAACCGAATTATAAACTGGGAAAAACGTGATCGAAAAATTCCAACTTTATTATCGTTTTGTTTTTCGTACAAACGCTTTTAAACGATTTGCAAAGTTTCCCAACGTTCCGATAATTCGGAACTCGAAGGCGGTAAAAGTACGCGGGTGGAGGGGGGCGATGGGTCGAGTCGCCCCTTCTTCGTCCTTACCCGTTGGAGAAGAATTTGGTTTCCTCCGTTTCCGGAAGAATACGTTTTCTTTTCTTTTCGTTCCCGGTGGAGGGAGGCGGTAGGGAAGGTATAAAAGAGCGTTCCGCGGCCCTTTCTTCCTTCCGGTGGTCGACCGCCGGGCCCGGGCGTACTCCTGCGGACCGCGCACCCGTAATTAACGAAATGAATTATTCGCCAGTCGACGGGACAAAATCGTAACCCGCCATACGATTGGCGGCGGGGTTGGTCTCTCCGTCCGGCAAATCAGAAATGGCCTTTTCCCATTCTTCCAGCGTTTGTCGAAGGCCGATTTCTTTCCGTCTTTTAACAGCGGGAACTGGCCACTCGTTTAACGATATTCTGTATTTTTTAAAACATTGGCAAACGCCCGCGTTGGCTGGATTTTCGCCTAGCCACGCCATTTCGGTAGTGTGGTCAGTATTTACTTAAAAGCGTAAACATTTACTAATAAGTAAAAGTAACCTTTTATTCGCGCGTACAAAGTAGGGGAAATACGGACAAAATGACATACGCGTAAAAACTATAAAATTACTGACCAAGTTGACAAATGAAACGCTCGGTTCTTTTAGAAACGTCAGCGCAAGAAGCGTGAGCCCAACGGAAACAATTTAAGCACCGTAACCAGTCTTCTCCAGGTTGGATGGGGAAAAAAGATCGTGGCAATATAGGCGTGGACAGTCTTCTTCATCATCACGACAGTTATCGGGAAAATTTTCTTCTTCAGGTAACTTTTTAGTAATATTTCGTTTCCTTTTCTCCGGCCGAGCTTTGGACACATTTTTTTGATTTAATTGCCTTCGTATTAGGAGTAGAAGTTAAAACTAAAGAGTTTTGTCCAGTCACGTAATTCGTTGCAAGTTTTTTGTTACGCGAAAGATAATAAGTTTGTAAATAAGTTTGTAAGAAAGGAAATAAAGTTTTATACTAAAATTTCTTTTAAACAATAATAAAAGACTTTGTTTGGAAAACATTTTTTATAATTAATAAAACGTTAAGAGATTAAGGTAAGTTTCTCGACTAAGCTCTTATGGACTAAATGACAGGTATGTCGTTATGTCGGTTGTCTATGTAGGCCTATGTCGTTTTGTTCGTATAACGTTATAAAAAAACAAAATTATAAAATAAATACAAAGATGTTATTTTTAAGGGAAAAAGTTATTTAAGTGCGACAACAAATTCTTGAGGGTTGAAATAAATGTTACGCAAATAGATAAAATAGTGAAAAAATTACCATCTATACAAAAAAACTTGTTGCCGGGAAAAAAACTCGTAACGTATCATTTCTTGTCGTCGGCCGTGACACCCGGGCCAATGAGAGGAGTGCGTTCACATTTTGAAAGGTTAGTAAGAGCCGCTCGGATAACGCGGTGTCGTGGTCAGTTGCCAGCTCGACACCGCCAAATTCGAATTACGTTGCCTGTCATTTTGTCCGTATTTCCCCTACTTTTACTAACAGCTTTTTAGCGCTTAACGCTTTTATTCGACCGGCCCCGTCTCATTTTAGACGCCGTATTAACCTCTCTAGAAGAAAGATTTGGACGAATAAAAACTAACGAACAAATTCGAGTTTTCTTTTTAATCGGGCGATTTGAAAGAATTGAGAAAACGTCGGGCGGGTTTACCTTCGATTCTCCACCATGAAAATATTAGTGACGGTTTAATTCCGCCATTTGCGGAATATTGGCGGTCGACAATCCCGGTGAAAATGCTGTTTATTGCGAGTGTCGAGACAAATTAAAAATCGTACGGAAAAGGAACCGCCGTTTATCGGGTTTCCGTCTTTCCAAATACAGTACAGACTTTGGTCGTCCGCGGCATTACCGGTCCGGATCTTAAAACTGGCCTTTTCCGATAATGTTTTTTCTTGGTTTTAGCCTACGGGAAAGGACGGCGGTCGAAAGTTCCGTTTCTGGTTTCGACTTATTTTAAATTACATTTAAAACCCGTATCTTTCCGTTTTCGACGATTTTCTATCGTCCCCGCCGAGGAAAGGAGGGACGGCGATTCTAATTAATGCGCCGATCGACCGCTTTAAGACTAGCAAAGTTAAGCAGAAAAGTCGGACGCCCTCCGTTTTTAATTACGTCGTTATTAATTTCCTTTATTTCGCCCGGCGTCCAATTTGCATTTTCAAGCGATTCCGCGCGGTGGTCGAAGGAGGGAAGCCGAGAAACCTTTTTCTCTTCCCTACGGGAGGGAAGGAAGTCGGCGGTAGTTTTTAGAAAATCCCGGCGGCATTTGCTTATAAATAGCTTTATTGAGTCTTTAAATAAATATAAATTTTCCTGTCGAATTTTAGGAAACGGCTTCGGACCATCCTTTTTCGGTCTGCCGATTCCGAGGGAGCCAGTCGGGAGAGGGTCGAAGAGCCTTCTTCAATTTCTGTCCGACAAAAAGAAAACGGTGAATTACGCGGCTTTCCCACCGATCCTTTCCGATTACGCTTCTCCCGGCGGCTTTATCCTCCGGGAGAAAACGCTTACGTTCCTTTTATATTCTCCCACCCCCGTCCGTTCCGCGCCTTCGGAAGGAGGGAAAAGGCTCTTACCAGTCGCCATCTTTTAGGTTTTTGTCGTTTGACTTGGATCAGCGCCCAAATCGGTATCGGAATCAAAGTGAAGGCCGTCAGTAACCGCGAGACGACGTCCGGCCAAACGACGTAGTCGGGGTCGTCGACCACGTTCTTTTTCGCCACCAAATCGTGTACGAATAACATCTGAAAGTCGATCGAGAAATTTCTAAGATCGGTCGGACGAAATGTAAATTAACATTTTATCCGCGCGGAGCGGCCTTCCTCGGCGGAAAAAAAAAATAAAACTCGGCATTTAATTGTCTTTTTCTTCGCTTCGGCTTCCAATACGAAGAAAGTAGGAAATATTTGTTAAAACCCGGCATTAAATAAGGGCGGTTAAACGGGAAGGCCGAAAGTCCGGCGGAATAATTTTAAGAAAGCGGAAAAATTCTTACGAATAGAACGAAAGGACAACAAAAACCCAGCGTCGTCTTCCAGTAGACGTTGGTGCGCAGTCCCAACATCCGGCGGACGTCTCGACCCACGTTTCGAATTCCTTGGAGAAAAAACAAGAATTTAGAGCAAAGCCAGAGGCGTTGGTCGGACCGAGGTCAAAAGGTCTCTCACCGTAAATGCAGGAGAGGACGACGCACTCGAAGGCGGCCAAGACGACGAAGGTGACTCCTCCCACGTAACCGTCCAGAATTCGCACCACCTGGAATCCACCCTGCCATCGGACGCAAATCCGTAAAACGTCGCTCTCCGCAAATGCGCGGCGACCAATTTCTCGCTCGGCGGCCGACAAATTTCGGTAGAAATCGGAAAGTCTCCGGGGAGGGGAGGAAAGGACGAGGTGACCTTCCATTTCGTCACGCACCCGGCCGTCGGACGGCGGGGCGACGTCCGGACGGACGAAATATTCCCGGGTCAAAGAAAAGGGAGAGGGTGTCGGACCAGAGGAATTATTCGTCGCCTCCTCCTACAGTCGATAAGAAAGGGCGACGGACGATGAGATACGGGAGAGAAGTGGCTCCGTCCGGAGGAAAATATGGTCTGGGCCGAAAGGAAAAATTGGCTTTCCGTCCTCCTTTTACGTTCGTCTAACGGAATGCGGTAAATCCGGTTTTATCGTCGACGGAAACTACTTTCTGTCGGAAGACGGAAAAACGAAACGTCTCCTTAACCCGGCGACGAAAAGTCATTCCTAACGCTTAACGTCTTCCGCCCGGGATTAACCCGGAGAAACTTTTCGGGGGAAAAACGCCCCACCGGAAAGCGAGTGACGCGCGCGGGGCAGAAAGGAACTTACCCGAGTGACGCAGGGAATGCTGAAAAGAAAGGCGCACAGACACAGGCACAGGTAGAATCGCCGCTTGTAAATTCGATACTTGGGAATCAGGTCCAAGATGCCGATGACCAAATTTTGCACCATACCCAGCTGAAATTTAACAAAGTCGGCTTTTTAATCGGACGTAGGACCGACGTTTTAGGGAGGAGAAACCGCACTCGCCTCGCTCTCGATTCCCACCGAAAACAGGAGGAAAAAGAAGAGAAAAGTGCAGGTCCGACGGAGCGGAAGCGCGTTTAGGGCTTCCGGAATAGCCACGAAGGCCAGTTCGAATCCTGAAAAGAGAAGCGCGGGTACAGAACGGTGGAGGGTTAGAGAAAAGAGCGGAAAGGGAGGTCTTACCGGCGCCGGTGATTTCGGACACGGCCACGTCCAGCCGCAGAGCCCAGACGCCCAGCTGAGAAAAGACCACGAATCCGGCCAGGACGCTGGTGAAAGTGTCGGCCAGGACCAGGATCCTGGCGTCCCTGCAAAGGAAAGCGCGTTTTTCGTTATCCGGCGACGAAAGGAAGGAGAAGGAAGAGGTGGATTTACTTGTAAATGTCGTAGTGGAAGTGGTTGAAGCTGGCGAAGGTGACGAGAGATCCCGTGGCCACGCTCAGAGAATAGAACATCTGTCCGGCCGCCAGCGTCCAGATCTGAGAAAAGAGTCTGGGTTACGGATGGGGACCCGCCCGACGGTGTTTGCCGAAAGACTTACCTTCAAGTTTAGGAGTTTGTCCCAAGAGGGAAAAAGGAAAAAGATAATTCCGTTCTCGGCTCCCGGTTGCGATACTCCGTAAATAAATAAGAAGATCAAGACCAGGTAAGAAAAGGCCACCGACAATCCCACCACCTGAAACGGATTTCGGCCCATCCGATTAACGTCACGTCTTGGCCTTCCGCGGCGGCGTTTGGCCAGAGGAAACGAGAAAATCTCGGCAATTAATTCCGGCAAAGCTTTCGTTTTGGCAAAGGTTCCCATATTATCTGTTGGTTTTTGGCGGGGAAAGTGCCGCGAAAAGCACGCGAGTTACGGGTGTGTCTCCGCGGTAACCCGTCACCCGGGAGACTATTCGTTTACTTGGGAAAAAATAAAAGTTTCGTCTCATAGCTGGTAGCGCATTGTACCGTACAGCGCGTACCACACCGTTTATTACGGTAATTTACCAATTCGTAGTATTAAAACGATGGAACTAAAAGGTTTTGTCTCAGATTTCTTTCGTCGGCCAAAAATTCCCACCGAAGGCGGAGAAGTCGGCTTCGGCCATCGGCCGACGGGCCGTGCCGGAGGTAATTGCCGCCGTCTTTTTACTGGGAAAGGCGACTTTTCTTCGGCCAAGTGCCCGCAGCGGGACGAAAGGAAAGAATAAGACGTTTCTCCCTCCGAAAATCCATTGCTTTTTGAAAAAAACAAAATTCGTATCGACCCAACCCGCGGTCCCGGAATTTAACGGAAGGAGGGTTAAAAGCCGCCGGGAGGAGAGTCGAATCCGGGGAGACGGATGGACGCCGCCTTCTCGGCATTTTCGTTTCCGCCGATTATTTCGGCGGAAGCGACGAGGGATCTTCCGCGGAGAGAGGAACGGGCCACCTAAACGACGGACACCGACCTTGGCCGTCGTCTGGATGCCGTTGCACACCCCCGCCGCCACCGTCGTCCAGGCTATCGCCAGGGCCAAGAACAGGTCCCACTTGATTCCTCCCGGTTCCGACACACTCGGGTCCACGCCCAACACCTTCTTGCTGCAAAAAATCCTCTTTATTAGCATAAAATATTGATCCTGTTATATCTAAGCTAAGAGTAAGAAGACGGCGCCCGTCTACCCCACTCCTTCCCCGCCGACGTTTCTCTTTCCTAAGCATCCGACCAATTAAATGCGGAGAAACGACGAAAGGAAGGCCGCGGCCCGCAAATAAACAGAAAAAGTCCCGTCGGCGATTTAAGTGGACGGAATAGTCCTCCGGTGTCCACGATTTTACCGCTTTGTAAAACTAGAAGCCGGATTTTACGCCTCTTTAGGGTCCGTTTGCCCTTTTCTCGACGGGAAAGGGAACCATCCGAGAAAAGTCAGGGGCCGTTCCCGTAAACGAGTGTTATCGAATCGTGCGGTTACTCCAGCCGAAGAAAATATTGCCTTAAAATAAATAACCACCTTCTCTGCCTGTTAATAGCGGCATCGAGCTTACGGCCCGATCATTCGACAGTTCGTTCGGCTTTAATTATACTTTCTATTTGCAAAATTTCCTAACCTTTAACGCAAAATAAGAAAAAGGGTGAACTTTTAAGAAGTTTGCGGGATTTCCCGGGTTAAAAAACAGCCGGGATCCCGTAGGAGATTAAATTTAGAAGCATTTGTCCGAACTTCGGGCGTCGCCTTCTTCCCCACCGAACGAAACCAGAAATTTAGAAAAGGTACTCACTTCCAGTATAATTCGCTGGGAGTCTGATACAAGGACGACTGAAAAAAAGAAAATGTCCTTTGAAATTCCTCTTCCCTCTCGACCTTCCGCCGTTGACGTCGACGGACAAAACTAAACGAAAATCTTTCGTTTTCGTTTCTGTTAAATTGACCGGAATCAAACGCTTCGGCAGCGGTGTCCACTCTCCGCGCACGCCGCCTGCTTTTGTTATCGGTTGGCGTTACGGACACTCCGTAACGTCGCCCCTTGGATTTTTTTCGGGGACCGCCAACGGGCAGCGTCTCCCGAGAGTGCGGAGTAAGATTTCGCGCCGCTTTATTACGGAAAGTAATTACGCTTCGATTATCGTCAATTCCGGCTTCTCCGTTCTCTCCAACGCCGAACGCTACCGTTAAACCTAACGGAATATCTCTTCTACGCAATTATTTCGGTTACGCGCCGTAACGGCCGAGACGGCCCAACTCGGAAACCGCGGCGGTAAACTCCGGACGCGACGCGTAAACGTCGGATCACTTACGTAATTTTTGAGAGAAGACCTGGAGGCGCAGGAAGCGTTCTGGGCCCACTCGAATCGGCAGGAACTCCAGGGCAAGTCGGAACCGAAGGAAGCCGAGGCGTAATACAGAGTGTAAGCGATGACCACGTTATAGTAGGAGACGAAAATGAAAGCAAATATCCACGCGGCCACGCCGAAACCTGAAATAATTAAAGGTGGTGTTTTTTAAATATTTCTCCAAGAACGCGTGGGTTATAGAAAGATTACCTTTGGCCACGGGAAAGCTGGACCAGACCCGGACGAAGCTCTTGCCCGAATATTGACCCAGGTAGAGTTCCGCGAAGTACAGGGGCTGACCGCACAGAAAAACCATTATCAGGTAGGGGACCAGGAAGGCGCCTGCGAACAAATGTCGACGCCTGGGTAAAGCCGGCCGAATTTCTCTCCGCCGTAAATTATTTCCCAACGTTTAACGTATTCCGCGGCTCTAAAATCGCACTTTTTAGCCGCGACTTTAAGGACAGTTATCTTTTTAATTCAAATGCCGTTTAGTAAAAGTCGGCGGAACTAAATCGAAAATTACGAAGGAAACAGAATAAAAGCTATTTACTGGGGAAAAACCGATTGCGGAAACTCGTTTTAATCGGCGGATGCCGTTATCTGTATCATAAAATAGAAAGCGTAATCGGCAATAACTTAACCACGGTTTTTCTTTCAAACGGGACGAAACCTTTCGAAACCGAGCAACGTATATTATTTCTGGCAGCAAGCGAAAGTACTGCGCATAAAATTTCTTTACTATAATTCGGCTGCCGCTAGAAATACTCGTACTTAATACTTATCGAGCTTTTTTTTGCTCGGATAAAACAAGCTTCTTGTTCCGGTTCCGGTTGCCATTCGTCTTCCTCCGTTCTATTCGCGGAAAGATTCGCTGGCTATTATTAACCGCCGGGTGGAAACTCTTAAGGTACGCGCGCTAGACTTTTCGGGGCAGAAAACAATTTACGGCGGAAAAGCAATTACAGAAAGAAAGCGGGATAATTCTCAGCTTCTGCCTAAATCGAAAATAAAGAAACTGTACGAAACGAGAGGAATTTTTCCATCAATTAAGAAAGAATCGTGGCCCGCGTTAAAGTATTGGAGCGAAAAGCGGTAAAATATAAAGGCCACTCACCACCTCCGTTTTCGAAAACCAGATAGGGAAACCTCCAGACGTTGCCGATTCCGACCGATACTCCCAAACAAGACAGGAAGAAATCCCACTTTCCTTTCCAACAACCACGAGCCTCTTCTTTTCCTTCCGTCTTCGCCCAAAACGTCCGGAAGTAACGTCGAACGGCGTGGCCCACCTTCCGTTTTCTTTCGTCTTCTCTCTTCCTCCACCGGTTATCGGGCTGAACGGAGTACGAGCGTGTAAGCCAAGGTACGAGGTGGAACCAAACCCGCGAAAAGGGCCGTCGGATGCGAAAAAAAGGAGAAAAGAGGGATCGGGAACTTACTTCCGAATTCCGCGCTTCCGTTTGGTTTTCTTCCGGGAGCGGTTCTCTCGTCACGGGGACGATCTCCTGAAGGAAAAACAGCCGCGTTAAGCGAAAGGAAGAGAAAGGTCCTGGAATCGATGGCTGATCCTACTTCTTCCGGCGTTTCCTCTTTCCCGCTTCCGTCCGCTAAGCCTTTTCTTTTCTTCTTTTTTCGTTTCTTCCCGGTTTCTTCCGTTTCCTTTCGTTCGAATAACCAAACGATTATCGTTTTGTCCGGGCCACCGCTCAAAGAACACAAAAAGGGGCGCCAATTTACCGGGAAGCGGGCTTGGAAGGCCTCCGTCTTCTCGGTCTCTTCTTCGCCGACGTCCTCTCGAAAAACCTGATCGGAAAGTGACGGAAACTAGAAACCCCCGGCCACTTCCGCATTCCTCCCGGAAGGGAGGAAGGAAACAATACTTTACCTCGAGCATTTCTTCTCGCTTTACCGCCGTCTTCCCGTTTGCTTCCGCTCGACCTTCTTCTTCGTCCTGAAAGCAAAACGCCTTTCTTAATTAATAAGAAAATAATAATAATAAACGTAACGATTTACTTCTTACGGCCGCCTTCCCGACAACGAAAAACGAACTCTTCCCCGATGTAGCAATTTTAGATCGTTCCCGCTTTCTCCTATACCTCGTTAATTGAAAATTGCCTTTGGATTACCGGGAATAGGACGAAATCGATTTCAAGTTACCCGGGGTAGCTACAAAGGGAATTGAAGTTACCCTTAACACCGAAACAATACATGTTTGATAATCAGACGTTTTGGTCACTGTTTTACGCGTTATGTATCGAGGCGCGCTTTGGACGCGGCACGTTTCGTGCGTTTTATTCGATAAACGTAAAAACGTATTACACAATTTTAGTTAAACTGAGAAAGAGTAATGCCGACGACACGGGGTTAACTCGAGTAGGAATAAATTTTTCAATCTATTGCTATTCGAGAATCATTTCGAATTACCCTCGGAAGTAGTTCCGACCCGATTTCGTGTCTTTACACCCCTCTTTCGGCGCCCAAAATTACCGGCGATGGGTTACGGGTAGTGTCGAAACGAATAGAATATTCGGCCTCGGGCCGAATACCGAATATTCGGCCAAATTATTCGGCTCGATTAACGCGCGTACGAAAACTGGCGCGTTAATTCTTGATATTTGTAGCGGACAGACAAGAGCGTCGTGGCAGTATGCCATAAATGACGATATCAAATGTGGATAGCAACGAAATGACCTACACGTGTAAATAACGGAAAAAGAACAGAGAAGGACAGCGAAGTGAAAATAAATATGAAATTGAGTCGATAACATAATCGAACGAGTCGAGGCAGCTTATTGGCACAAAACTCGCGGCCGTCAATGCCAAACAATTGTTGTCATAGACTTCGGAAAGCTAAATGCTTGTAAGGAAAGTCACTTAGCGTGCACGGGCGAAAGCCCGGGACCGTTCGGGTTACCGAGCTGCCTGGAATCAGTGAAATCGTAACTGCGACTTATACCGACGCCCTATCTGTCTCTTTCCACCGTTATCACCAAGCTACGAGTCACGTAATTGTAAAATGGGAAATCTACGACGGAAAAGTGACGAATCGAAAGTATGGTGAGAGCGTATTGTGATGTATGCACAGGCATACGTGGATTAAAGCGATAGACAAAAGAGAAAGGAAAGAGCAAAGACGAGAGCTTAAAAAGGATAGGTAAGGTCAGAGCCTCGGATGTGCGAGGATTCTCCAACGATAGAGGTGTACGTGTGCTGATCTTTGTAATTATAAATTGTGAATGCGTGTGACTAATATTATTTTCTTTTTTATTTTGTGCATGTTACAAGTTATAAATAAATATAAACAAACAACACTAACCCGATAACATTAAATCCAAATACCAAAATGATTAATTTACTGTGTTATTCTTATTATTTCTTACTCCCGTTTTTAGGTATTCGATATTCGGCCGAATAGCGAAAAATAGGCCGAATACCGAATAGTAACCGAATATTCGTTACATGACAAGTTACGGGGTAGAAGAAGGAGACAAGGTCTTACCTGCTGGATCATATCCGTTTCTTCTTCCGATTCGTCCATGACACTTTCTATCGTTTCCGTCGAATATTCGTCGATAGATCTAAGACGAAACCGACATCCTTCAGAGCCGCAACCGATATTTCCGCCCCGTCCGACTGGAAAACTATTTAATCGCGTCCGTTTCGGCATTAGAGTTCCCCCCACAACGGTTTCCTTCCTCTTCCGAGTTGGACAAACTCGGTCGTGAACGGAAAAACAGACTTTTCCGGGAAGAATGCGACTTTCGGGCACCGAGTGGCGTAGAAATTAAGCGCCGAATTTCCACTCGGAAAACTCGAAGAATCGAACGGCGGCGCCAATTTCCTCCCGAGACGGTAAATTTTACGGCAAGTCGCAGTGTTTAGTCGTCGGCCTCCCGAAATAAACCCGTGGATCCGTAAAATAGGGAAAGTCGCCTCTCGGCTTTGATCCTTCCGTTGGAAAGCGAGGAACTGGACGTCTAGGGGGAAAGGAAAAGAGGCACCAGCGCAAAAGCTCGGTCGGGTCCAACGGCTAAACAAGTTAGACAAGGGCGCGAGAAACGTCCGTACACTCCGTCTCTTTCGAGCTTCTCCGTCGATTTTAATGGCAAGGGCCTAACTTTTAACGGGATAATCTCCCTTCGGGAGGCCGAAGTCCGTCCGTCTGCCCCTCTTACCCGAAAACGGCCAAAGTCGCCTTCTGTATTTCTTCGTTCGATTCTTTTCCGTCGAACGGCGTCCAACCTTCGTTCGAAAGGAGGAACAAATTTCGAAATTCGAATCGCGTCCGTCGTTAGCGCAGATCGCAGGTGGCGCTTTATTCCGAGAATGAAATTCGAAAGAAGTTTGTTCTTTCCGTTTCGATATTCTCCGTCTACTTTGTCCGTTCTCGCTACCGCAGGAATCGATCGGTCGTCGGAGAAATATGAGCATTCTCGTTCTTCTTCCGTTTCTCTTCTATTTCTCGTTCTGCGGGGAAAACGTCGTCTCCGGCTTTTCCTTCTACGCCACCACCCCCGCCCGGGAGGGGGACCTTCTCTTCCCGGCCTCGAACGAGTGGCAAGAAAGCCGAGGAAGGCCCTTCTCCATCCGGGAACCGTCCCGTCCTCCACTGAGAAGAACGACGAAAGGTGGGTCCGTTCGGAATCTAGACTTTCGTTTCCGGTTTGTTTAAGACTCGGACTTTTCGCAGGGTTTGCGGCCGGAGGGCCTTGTCCGCCCGGCTTCCGATCGCACCGCCGTCTGTGCCGTGAGTACCGTCTTTCGTCTTCCGTCCACCCTCTCCGGTCTACGCCGGCCCGAATTTGCCCCTTCGTCCGACTCGGCCGCCGGAGCCGGAAACGGACGGGGTCGGGGGGTCCGGTGACGAAAGACCCGCTCTTTGGTTATAGGCGGGATATCCTCCGGACGACGAACCGACGGACCGCGAGGGGAACGAATTCCGTCGGACGGACCGAACGCCAAATACAGAGGGGCAAAGTCGGCGCCGAGTATAACCCCGGCGAAAGACGGGGAGGAGACGGAGGAGAAATTTTGTTTGTCGTTTGGGAAGAAAAAGAACGACGACGTCCTCTACGTCCTTATTCGTTCGTTAATCTTACCGTTTAACGATATTCGCAGAGGCCTGTCCGCCGGGAGAATTTTCGGAGTTCGAAGAGAGCCGAAAATGTTTTCCTTGTCCGCCCGACACCTACGCTCCGAAATACGCCTCCACCCGCTGCATTCCCTGTCCTCCGGGTTCCGGCACGTGGAGCCAGAGTAGTACCGCTCTCCGGAGTTGTCGAGGTAAGTGCGTCCGGCGGTCCTTCCGTCGGATTCTTCAATTTCTTTCTCTTCCCTCCCGCAGGCGGCCTCGTCGTCTGGTTGGCCGAAAGTCGGCTGAGACCTTCCAACCCGCGGCAGAAGATTTTGACGTTCTTCTCCCTGGCACTCTCGCTCCTCCTGTTTCTGGTGGCGTGAGTATGGTGGCGGGCCGGGCTAAACCGCCACGATCTCCGCAAAAGCATTTCCTTTCTTCAGAGCGGCGACTCTTCTTTGGGGAAGAAGAAGGACCGACGGCGGAGCCTTTTGGAGAAGAGGAAAGAGGTACCGGGACCGGGCCACTTCTAAGGGAAAGACCGTTCTGGACTACGGAAGATACCTGGCCCACCGCGGATCGGGAACGAAACCCACGGACGACGATGGGATTCGTTCGGCGGAAAAGAAAGAAAAAAAGAAAATTTGGCGGAAATTAAAAGAGCGGGCGGAGAGAGAATGGCCCAGACAAAAGGCGACGGTGGATTTAAATTGAAGACGATCGAATGGCGTCTTTCTTCTTGGCGTTACCGAGGCCGACGAAAGAAAGAAATGCCTTCTGCCGCCACAAATTTCTTCCCACATCCATTGGGACCGAGACTTTTTCTCTTTAAAAATTAAAAAGTAATTCTCGCCATGTTTTTTTTCTTCTTGTAATTTTCGATTCCGTTTAACGGGTTTTGGCGGGTTACCGAGGTGGAAGGGCGGATGTCGGCGGCCGATTAGAAAAAGGTCTTTGGGAACATAGAATTACTTGGAACGAAAGGTCTACGTTGGATGGCCGTCGTGGCGGGGAGAGACCCACCGACCCAGTGGCCGGCGAAGCCGGGGATGGAAGGACCCGTATTATTTTCCCGCGCGATTAAATCGTCTCCAATGCGCGCGTGAGACGTGGCCATTTAAAATATTCGAATATTTTTATTATTAATTTAATTACGACGAGAGGAGAAAATCACCCGGATTTGTCTGCCGCCGTTTTTATCCACGCCACGTAAAGAACGTATTTTAATCCGGGACATTACTCGGACCTACGGCGTTGCCGCCCGAATCCGCAATCGGGCCCGGCTCCCAATTATCGAGTGGCAAATTTCGGCTTCCGACGGGCGAAAGTCGAAAACCTTTGTTTGAACGTTTGTTCCGGATATCCGCATCAAATAAACGCTAGGCGAAACGACTACGTAAGTACGATATCCATTATTTTTAGTGTTTTACCCGCACGTTTTCTACGAGAAATGGGGATTATTGGAAGCTTTTCGCCGAAAAATATACTATTCGAGAGTACGTACGACCAATGATCAATTCGTTCATTTCTTACTCTTTTAGATGTAGAATTTACACCACCAATTTAATCCTACGCTTTCTCCTAGGTATTTTTTCCACAAAATAAAACAAATACGAATTATATGTACTGTACTGTATTTTAATTAGATGAGCCATAACGCTCTGTAAATAATGAGCTTTTTTAGATTGTTCTTCCGATTGGATGATAGAACGCCACGTGGTCACCGACGTGGCTATCATTACCATCTCAAATCGATAACACGTTTCTTCTATAGCTAATATTTCCGCAAAATAAGTAGCCTGTACTTTCCGTCGGAACACAAAACGAATATAACCAAAATTTTGTCTGGATTGGACAAAGATTGCGGGAGTTATAAGGAATTCACATACGCACACGCCACGACTTTTATATTATAATTAGCTGTTACCCGCCACTCGGCCCGCGCGGATTTTGCCAGCAAACCCCATTTATATTCAGTATTTCAACCACCGTAGTAATTGTTACATAACACCTACCGCCGAGAACCGAACCAACTGTTTTCTAGAACGTTTACGATCCTTCTATAATCGAACCGATACGCGATAACAAATTGGAATTTAAAACGGTTCGAACGTTTGGTTAAAACATGGAAATATATGAAAATATTTATAACAATGTCCGAAATGTTATCAATTTAATACACCTAAGTACTCGATGGAGACTAAACGTAGTTAAAAAGAAAGAATCGCATCTAAAATAGTATGGTAGAAGCCGTTCTTCGGGTTAAGCCTTAATCCTTTCCTTCTCCCCCGCGGGGGAATTTCGAAAAATCCCTTCACAGAACCGCAAGATAATTGATAAAATCCACGAAATCAATGAGATAAAATTAAGTAATATTACATCTAAATAACACTAAGTACTCGCGTGACATCACTTCCACAGGACTACGTACAGAAAAATAAATACACAATAATCTTAGTAAACAGCAGTAAATACAATGCAGATTCCACACGTAACCTCGTAATTGTGGATAAAATGCGCAAAATTTGAAGTTAAATAAAGTTCGCGTGTAACAACGTATTCGCGTGTGAAGTAGTAATTACAAAGCTAACACTATAAGTAGACAGTCTTTAAGTCAAAGTCAGTGTTAGCGGTAGATCAGTTGGCTTGTGATCCGATTGATCTTTTTTGCAAGTCTTTTAAAGGCAGAGAATATCTGTTGGTTGGTCCAGATGTTTGAGAGGTGGCACGGCCAAGCTATGTTCAATTCCTGCAAGAGTAGTCGCAGTTGAGTTCTTTCTATTTGGGTCATCACACAATCAAAATGTAGTGTTGAGATCCATCCGCAATCATACGGGTTGGGCACTGATCTGATGTTCTGTTTAAAAATCTGGCAAGGTACGCAGCAAATTTTCCGTGATTTGTAAATAATTGAGTTGTGTAGTAATCGGGAGTAAACTATTTTATTTTAAAGAAGCTTTATAAGTCGGGGACAAATTGAAACGTGATACTTCGGTTACTATCATTCCAACGATGTCGCCAATGGTTAATAGCTTCCTCCCATAGTAAGCGTCGCAAAGTGATATGACTGATTTTATCGTAGGAAAAAGGAATGGTGGAGCCTTTGCAAAAGAGTCAGCCTGTCACTGTCCGCGAGTCCCCGATGGAATCTAACCCAAGAAACACCGATATTACATGTTGAGTTTCTGATCGAATTCCTTATTTCCACTGCCAAAGGACGAAGCTTAGTGCTACGGATAATGTTAAGGGCAGAGAGTGAATCTGTGTACATTTGAATATCATAATGTGGTAAATTATTAAGAGGAGATAGACAGTAGAGAAGGGTAGGATCCCTCCGAACGGCGTACAGTACGTTTGGTTACAGTACCCTCCGCGTTCGATGTCGGCGAGCAGTTTTTAGACTGCCAGGCCGTAGTTTCCCGAAGGATGTAAAAGAAAACCCGAGGGTAGCGAATGCCGACGGTTCGGAGCCGCCACGAATAGCTAAGAGTAGAAGTTAGTGCCAAATGGCCGATAGTAGGAAGACTTATACTACTTAATGCTAACGAAACTGAAGGCCACGGCGAATCTTAATACTACTTAACAGACAGACAGCGCGAGAAAACAAACGAATACAACGACAAACTAGACGAGACGAACGGACGGACGAAAGTCGAGACCGAATACGGAAAGCTTAGGGGCAGGAGGCCCCTATTAACTTATACGAACTTCCGTTCGAAACCGGAATTTTTGTATTTCCATTCAAAAATTTTTACCGAAAGGAGTAAGATAACGACCGGCACGACTCTGTTTCTAACGGGAAAAGTACGACGTACGGGGAAGGTGGAGAGGATTTTAAACGAAATACATTTAAAATACAGTACTATTAAAATTGCAGCCCGCGTCAAATAAATAATTGCCGATCTTTTTTCCGGTTTAGAAAGACTGCGGAGAGACTGGCTTCACCGTCTTCCAACTTGCCTACCCGTATTTATACGCAGCGCTTTTTCTTAATTCTATTCGGGAAGAGATATCCCGAGGAACATCTTTATTAACTTCCTTCGAGTCCGCAGACCGATCCGTCGGTCGTCTATCGGCAGACGTAAAATGCCGGTTCTTTCCATTTCTTCTCGTTGCCGTAAGGCTCGAAAATTATGCAAACGAAACGAAATGCCGCGTCTTACATTTGTGGGATTAATTGGCAAAAGCCGACCCATGTAAAATTATTGTCGGTAGTAAATAATCCCAAGAAAAACATCCGAGGCGTAAAAAATGACGACAATTTGACAGTGGAGTACCGCGGGTGTCAGCCGCCGGGGTGGGAGGAAAATTTCGCCCCCCCTTATTTAGGTACTTCAATTTAAAAGGCTAAAATTCAGTTTTGTCACAGAACTAGCGATAAAAAATTCCGTGCCAGCGCAGCGACCCGATTAAAATAGTTCTATGGGATATTAGTGGTGTATATATACGTATAAGAAGAAAAAACAAACGGTCAACGGGTTACGCAGGATTTCGTCGGACGAAAGAATTACTAGTTCACCCGGACGGCCAGCCGATTCCCGGACTGTCCGGACGATAGCGCTATCGTAGCCGCGACGCCAGTATAGATTAGGATGTTTCAAATTTTTACAAGATATTATTAATATTTATTGCGAAATTTCGCCGCCCCCGCTACGGTACGCCACCGCAATTTGAACGACGGTGGCATTTCTTTTCTGACCAGCCGGCGTAGAAAACAATAATGTCCAGCGCCCGGCTTATCTTTACCGAAGAAAAACTAAGAAAACGTTTAACGTCGTCCAAATTGTCATTATTTTTTTGTTCGGATACCAATTGTTTTTGCTTAATAATTATATTATTACTTGGCCACGTAAGACGATGACGTATGTACGGTACAGTAATATTTCCCAGTAACATTTCGAATAAAATTCATTGGTTTACGCGCAATTTTTTCTTCGTAAGCATAAAGTTAAGCCGTAAAAGTAAAAGAAGTCTTGGCCAAATCCCGGCCAACTTTGACCTACGGAGCGGAAAGTTTGGCCGGCGCCTCACCCGTAACCGGAAAGGCCGGAGTTTTCTCTACCGTCGCCCGACGAAGAAAAAGGAGGAGAAGAAAATACGACTTTTCTGACAAGTTTCGCGCTTTTCCACGGCTTATATTTCAACCACCGCCGTTTACAAAATCTTCAAATTTCGTACGCTACGTAAGAAAACAATTATCTTTCGAATTTAGACGTTTGGGGGGCGGAGAAATCGGCAACTCCCATTCCCGTATATATAGTCGGTCTCTGACTTTTCTTACTAGACCGGGAGTCGCTACCGCCGCTGCGCGTGCCAACCGTCGAACGGAAAGAAGTAAGTGTCGGGAACTTACTTTTTATTTGTTTACTCCAGCTTCGGCCCACTCTACGTACACTCGTCGTCGGCCGCTTCGTACTTTTCCTCCGTATCTCGCTTTCTCTAGCCGGAGACGTAAACCGACGGTAGGTGTTAAATCGCCAGTCGTCCCCCGTTAACTCTATCCCACATCTCCCGGATTTTCGCGCAGTTGACCTTAGTCTTTTCTCGGCTATTCTCCCGGCCACCCACCGGTGGAAGTTCGAGTCCGTTAGTTTTCCATCCGGTCCACTCGGTCGCGCCTAAACGTCGTCGGCATTCGGTCTCGAAGGCGGCCAATCTCTTTTCTTCCCGCTATATACACTTGACTTATAAATTACAATCGAACGGGCGCCGGGCCAACGCCTCTTTCGGGACGTCCAAAATTAGCATTTTCTGCAGAATTAACTGCGGAACGAGTGCAGACGAAAGGAGGTTTATCGATTCCCGAAATTCCGGCCACAAAATTCCGATACAAACCACAAAACAAAAACGGTTTACGTAATAAACCGTACTGTTTTCCGGATCGAAAGACTCTCCGCCCCCACCGGGAAACCGGAAAGCCGGAGGTAAGAATACTTCTTCTCTTCCCCCTCCCAACGCCACCGGCGATAGTTCCTTCCGGACTGGCGGAGGAAAGAGTCGGCGTTCCGGAAAGGAAAGATCGGCCACCGCGTAAACCGGCGAAAAAGTCGGGACCACCTTCCGTCCGCCGAAAAAACGCCACGGGCGGACGGAGGGAATGGCCGCGGATTTTTCCCTTCGACTTTCCCGCCAAACCGGGAAGGGCGCGATCCCAACCGGACGTTTCCCTCCGCTAAGGAAAAGGCGGGTAGAAGCGTTCCACAGAAATTGAAATTGGCGGGTAAAGGGGGAGAATGGAAAAGTCGTCGGTCGTTTTAAACCGGTGGGAAGGAAAGTTGCCGCCGCCGCCGCCGCGCCGGTCGACACTCCCGGAGAAGACGTCGGCGCGCGTGGAGCCGACGGCGGTCGACAGGTGGCGCGACGACTCCCGGCGGCTGGGTGGTCGGCGCGGAAAGGGAAATCCGTGGGAGAACCGGTTCCGCCCTTGCACGGGCCGAGTGCCACCGTTCTTCTTCCCGCTGCGCATCCAGCCACGGGCCGTCGGGTAAGTAGCTGACCACCGACCCACCGCTTCGTCTTCCCTTTTTCCCGCCGGGAGGGGCCCTCCTCCGGGGGAGGCGGAGGTCCACGCGCGCGGTTAATTAGGCGCGGCGAGGACCGGTTATTCCGCCGTCCGTGGCCTACTTTGGCCCGTCCTTTACCTCCCGACCGCCGACGCTAAATTGCCCTTCGTTCCTTTCTCCTTCGGCCGGCGCCCGTGCTTTACGCGTAAAAATTATTAGCCGCGGCCTAACTTTAGATCGAGCCGGAGCGCGCGTTACGTATTCCGTCTCCGGACTCGTCCGCCACTTTTCCTCGCCGGCGGAAAGGACGGCCCTTCGGACGAAAGGGGAGGATCCTTCTCTCGCGTCTCGGGGCCGCTGGGGAAAGAGAAAGGGTCGGGGTCGTCCTTTCGCTTAAAACGGGCGACGGGCGGAGGGAGGAGTCGGAACCGTCGGTCGGCTTTCCGCCTTCTCCTTGTCCCTTATTTCGTCCTTTCCGTCCTTTTCCGAAATTTCCTTCCGGTGGAAATGGAGAAAATCTTTTCGGTCGTGTCTCCCGGCAGATGCGGCGTGGCCCCGGGCCGCTTTTCTTTTCGGAAGACGGCCTCCGACTCTCCTTCTTTCCGGACGGCAATTCCCGAGAGCCGAGAGTAATTAACCAATTAAGAGGCGAAGCGTCGAGAGAATTACGTGGCCCGGGTCGGTCCGGCCTTTAGTCCTATCGAAAATCCGTTTCTTCCCGCTAGTCGGGGCGAAAGAGGGCCCCGACCACCGGGAATCCGGCCTCCACCCGCGTCCAAACCATTTACCCACTACGACGTCACTTTCTTCCGGAACGTTTTCCGCCCCGTTCTTTCCGGCGGCGGAAGTCGAGCGAAGGACCGACCCGACTTCCGCTTCTTCCGCCAGAGACGGGTTTCCGACCCTTTTCCAGGGGACTAGGTCGGTCCCCGACTCGGCCCGGCGGATAAAACTTACCGACGCCCACGGCGGGCGTAGGGCGAGCGCGTCCGACATCTACGTGGGCGAGATCCGGTTTTCGATAGAAAGTCCTCCGGGGAGGCCAACATTCCGCCCCGTGGCGGTCCGGTACCGTTATTCCGCAATTCCGGCGTTCGACCCTTCCCTCTCCGTCTTTTTCCGGGCCAAACGCCTTCTTTCCGGCGAAGGAAGAAATCCTCCGGCCTTTTCTTCGTTTTCATAAATTTAGTGGCGACCACCCTTTTTCGGTTTCTTCGCACCGGCGCAAACAATTATGAGAAAGGTTTGCGATGTAGGGAAACTTTAAATACCGTAACGGAAACAGTTAATTTAGCTTTCCTTCCGAATGCCTGGTTTTCCGTAACACGTAAATCCGTAGGGAGATAATTGCGGCTTTACGCTGGTAAGAAAGACATTTTCTTTTCGTTCCGATCTTAACTTCAGGGCGAAAAAAGGCGCGATAAACCCGGAGTAAATGTCGGGGAGTGTCTGCCAGAAATCGCAGGGCGCATTTCGTTCGCCACTTGTTCCCCTCCGCCGACCCCGTTTCTCCCCGTCCGGACGGGAGAAAACGAAAAGCGCGGTTCGTCGCCACCCGTTTTGCTGGTTGCCGCGAAAAAATCGCCGGTCCGACCCGGTTAGAGACTGCGCCGCAGACGGGTTCCGCCGCGTCACCTCCGGTCGGGATGCCGACGCCGTCGGTGGACCGAGACGCCAGGTGAGACGGTTTCCGTGGCGGCTGTGGCCCGCGCCGTCCGCTCGAAAACGATTTCGTCTTTTTCAGGAGATCGTCGTTTCCGGATCCCAACTTCCGATGGGGAAGACGTCGCCCGGGGGAAGAGAGTCGACCGCTCGAGGTTCCTGGTCCCGGTGAGTGCCCTGTCCCGCCTCCCCTCGCCACCGGAAGGCGTTTTTCGTTTCTTCTTCCTCCCGCCCACCGGGCAAACGAAGGTTCCTCGGTCTCGGCCGACCAACGGACTTCTTTTTTGCCGGGAAAGAAAGGAGGAGGAGGACGACCTTTCGGGCGGATTTTCCCTTGGAATCCGGGAGGCGGCGGCGGCGGCGGTCCGACCGGTCTCTAATCTCTTTTTATCTTACGAAAACAAAATAAAAAGGGAAATTCGCGCGTAATTGTCCTAATCCGCTCCTTCCGCCCCACGCCGCCGGCCTGCGGAAAACCCTCCCTTTCCTCCGTCGCGCGTATTTCGGAAGCCGTCCGCCGCCTCTCCCTTTTCTCTTTCGAAAAAATTTCTCCTTCCCCGCGGAAATTTAATCGGTCTCGCGTCCGGCTTCTCTTCCTTCTTCTTCCCGGAAACTTCCGCTTCCGCCTTTCCGTCGGAATGTACGCGGACGGATTCGAAGGAAAGACGGTCGTCGGCACCGAATTTCTCTCGCGCCACCACCCGGACGGCGGGTCGTCGACCCGCTCCGAAAACCGCTTTTCTGCCGTCGACGTTCGATAACCTTCCCAGACGACGTTCCGCGCCGCGCCGTGTTTTCTGGCCCGGTGGGACGGCGCGTGGAAGGGGAGAGAGGGTGGGGAGGCTGCCCGTCGGCCCGACCCCCCCGGGGAGGTCGTCGATAGCCGCTGCGTTTCCCACCGGCCGACCACCACTCTCCGCTCCTCGTTGGGCGCTAAAGAGCCGTCGCGCTCCTATTAATAGTCTGGGTGGCCGGGCACTTGGCTTCGGTCCTTTGTTATAAATACGTGCGGTGTCGACGGTCGGTACGTGACCGGGACTCGCGCCGACCGAGAAGGAGGACGTCCTCGATGGTTAACAGATGTGGACCGTCGAAAAAGAAAAACAAAAGAGGTCGTCGTCGGGTCCGACGCTCCGCGCGTTAATCGCCTTTCCCCGCCGTCAGCCGGACGGGTGGGAACTTTTCTAACAGCGCCGTTTATGTCTTTCAGGTTGGCCACCGGAATTTTTCTGGCCGGCGCGTCGTTGTACGCCATCTTCACCTTGGCCACTCTACCCGTTTACCGGTCGGACGGCCACGGACCGCGTAAGTCCTCCTTCCTATTCTCGTCCGCGGGTTTCCTTCCTTTTTAAACTAACCGTATCTGTCGACAGTGGGCGGTTGCGACTGTCCCCCGGACCCGGGAACCGGCGGGGAGGAGATCCGCCCGGACGGGGGCAGACTGTTGTACAACCGGGTGCCCAAGTGCGCCAGCACCACCCTCTACACGCTGATGAGGAAGCTGTCCGTCCTCAACCGCTACGTCCACTACAACTCCAAGGTGTACGACAAGAAGATGATCGACCCGTCCGAACAGGTAAGTAGTCCGACTCCCCTCTCGCGGCTGCCGGGCCACACGGGCCAAACTCAACTTTCCGCTACGTTTTTGCCAGAGTAGATTCGTCCGCCGAGTGGCCGACACTCCGGCCCCCTGCAGTTTCGACAGACACATCTTCTTCGTCAACTTCACCAGGTGAGTCGTCCTCTTTTCTCGGGATTAAATAGAAAGGCCGCCACTGGCGCCACCCGGTAATCCTTTTTCCCTGTCCGACGTTTAAATCGGACGCCGGCGGCTTCCGAGGTGGTGGTATTAACGTTTCCGTTTGCAGGTTCGGACGATCGCCTCCCGTCTACATCAACCTGATCAGGGATCCGGTGGAGAGGATCATCTCGTCTTACTACTATCGGCGTCTGGCGGCCAGGAACAGTCGAGGGAAAACCGCCAAACCCAGCAGCTACTGGCTGAATAAAGTACGGTCCCGTCTCTTTCCCTTTTATGCAAATTACGCCAAACGGTGGAAAAAATTAAATTTCGTTCGGTAGAAATTCAGGCACTGCGTGGCCAACGCCGATCCCGAGTGCAGTTTCGTCGACGGCCAAAGTTACGGAGTTCTCCTCTTACCCTACTTCTGCGGACAGGACCAGAGATGCCTGTAAGTGGCCTCTTTCCAAAGTTCTGGCGCTCTTTTCTTTCCTTCCGTCTAATTTTTAGCTTCGACCGGCGCAGGATTCTCAACCACCCTTGGGCTCTGCGCGCGGCCAAGAGCAACATGGAAAGGTACTACGCGGTGGTGGGCGTGGTGGAAGAGATGAACGTCACTCTCCGGGTCCTGGAGGCTTCTCTGCCCGTCTTCTTCAAGGGAGCCTGGGAAGTGTACCACAACTTGAGTAAGTAGGGCGGGCCGGCTAATTTCTACGGCCGCGGTCTCCTTAAAAAGCCTAAAAATATAAACTCCGCCGCAGGCGTGCGCAAGAACCAGAATCGACAGAAGGAGCACGTGTCCGAGGATCTGAAGGCGGCCCTGAGGGCCAACCTGACGTCGGAGTACGAGTTGTACCACTTCGCGGTCCAGCGTCTGTACGCGCAGTACCGTCGACTGCAACTTAACCCGGCCACGTGAGCCACCGGAGGGAAACGTGGGACGTCATTGCCGGCGACGACGCCTTTCCCTCCCGCTTCCGCAGAATCCGACCGACGTCGTCTGCCTACATTAGGAAAGCGGCGTTTTAATTTATATTTTGCACCCGAATAAATTCTATTTTCTACGTTGTTACGCGCTTGTCTTTTATTAAAGCTTTCGTCGGACGGCGTGGTTAAAAAGTATTCTCTTTCCGAGGAAGGTCGAATATTTCTATTTTCATTCCGAGTGTTCTGGACGGAGAACGGGCTTTCTTGCCCAGTAACGGTGGAAGGAGTGGCGCGGGTGAAAAAGAAAGAACGTCAACGACCAGATCCGTCGACCGACATTCCCGTAATTAATGGAGAATCGGTTATAAAAAAAGTAAGTATTTGAGCCACTCGGAGGTTTTGCCGGCCACACGTGTTTGTCGTCGAGACGAGTTCCCGTTTCGCCTCCGTCCCGACGTAATCGACCGTACCCCGGTGTTAAGTCGCGTCCGGGTGGCGTGGCGGTTCCGTCCGCTTTTTACCCGCCACGTGGGTAGGCGCTCGGGCGTAGTCCGGACTCTCTTCGGATACTTTTTAAAGCGATTTTCTGGCTTTGGCCATTCATTCATTCATTCATTTTATTAAAATAACATGCGTTACATTTCCTGATTTCGCTGAGCATTATCAGGATTTAAAAACACTAAATAATTATGTCAATGAATACAGCATATTAATAAACATTAAGAGTAAAATAGTACAATGATGGGAGGGCAACAAGGATATTATACAGGCGTAATATATATTTATACAAGTAAGTATTTTTTTTTTTTTTTGACAAAATAAGATAGTGTAAATATACAGTAACAATTAGAAGTAACGAAGATAAATAAAATTAGAATCACAACAATTAAATGCAAGTTAACAAATTATAAAAAAAAAGCGAACAGCAGAAGTGCAAAAATATCATAGATGATACATATCATATAGAAATGAGTATATATACAAATTATGATATATAATAATAAGACAGTATAGTGTAAAGAAGTAACAATCATTTGCACCAAAATACTATGTTTCGGCCACAAGAAAATCCGCTAGTAGTTGAGCAATGGAAGTTGAACAATGTTCTCAACACCACTGAACTCCGCCAAGCATCTATGCGTAATATTCCGACATAGTAAGATTCACCAGAAGTTGAAGGATTGTCTTCACGCTGCATCATTTATATTCACTGGAAGTCGAAGAAACTTCGTCCACACCACAATTATTTCAATAGGAAGAAAACCAAACGACGGAGTATTAAGAATGGCTTTGGCCATTCTTAATACTCCGTCGAACATTGCGCGCACCGTCGTCGTCTCGGCTACATTCGACCGACTTTATTGCGGAACCCCAAATTTTATCGGCCGAGGCGAGTGGGGAACCCCCGGTCTAGAGTACGGTCGGCCGCCAAGGGTGGCGGTAGGCCTATTCTTCGTTTAATTACTTTACACTTTAACGTCGATTCGTATTTACGCCACGACTTAAAAACTGGAAAATTACGTTCGGCACCCGGGATTAGTTTAAGAAAAGGGCCAAATTATAATTTTCTGCCAAAAGCGGGAATAACGTCGGAGCGCCCGGCGGGTGGCTATCGGCTCCGGCAAATTTTTCCTCCGTTCGACCCGAATAAACGGGCGCTCGGCCACCTCCACCTTGTTTTCCGGAGAGAAAATTAACCGACCGACCGACGGCGGTTGCCGGAAGAAGGTAACGTCCGAGGGCCGACAAAATGGGTAGAAAACGGCCGGTTGGAAACGTCCGCGCATTTAGGCAACCGGGTTAATACGCCTCCGACTTATATTTCTCGTTGTATCGGAAAGCCTCTTGGAAATATAAAAACGGTCGGCCCACCCGTTTTCTATTCTTTTCCTCCGTTAATCTGCCGGGCCCTTCCGCCCTTTCCCTAAGAACCGAAAATCGGTCCCGTCCCGGAGACACCCGTTTCCCGACGGTAAGTACCGGTGGATCCGGGGTGGGAAAGCCCGGCCCGTTAATTTAGGGAGGCGACTTTCTTCTCCGGTCTGGCCGAGAAAGGGGCGGGCCGAAGGTTAACGACGGGTCCGCCGACTTCTCCGCCTTTAAGATCCGCCTCTTCCCCACCCGCGGGCCTAACGTCCGGTCGTCCGGCGGGAAACTAGAAGACCAGATACAGATACAGATATATTTAATAGTAATATGTCCGTAGACACATCCCCGGTGCCACAGAGCATTACCGGGTAAATCAAGGTTACAATAATGATAACATTGAAGATTTACAGTAGATAACACAGAAGTAATAATTAAATCGCGTGTACAGTACAATATATATGGTTGCACACGCGTATAATGAATAAATAATAAATAGAATAATATAAACAAAATAAAAGAGAGAGAAAAAAAAAATAATAATAATAACATAACTTACCACGTTTACAAAGTAGAGACAAGTTTGTTAAATACGTACGCAGTAAATGGTCGCGTTTACAATAAATATTTGATACCTCGATGTTTTACAAAATATTAAATAAAATTAATACTATAAATACATCACATGAAAATACAATATTATAATACATCTGGAATATCACATGAAAATACAATAAAACATCGCTAAATTTACATAAGGTTACATTTAGTTTTACATAACTTATTATACTAATACTTTTGAAGTACCAGAGTATTAAGCTTTCCGTGCTACCAGGATTGTTAGGAGCAAAATACGTAGTTTCAGGAAGCACAATCTTTATGATAAACTGTTGAGAAATTCTTCAGTTTATTCCTCATTTGTTTAGGATGCTATAATCCATGATTTAGTACTCCTATGATCCTTATAAGGTAAAGCGCCAATAGTTTCATTTATCTAACATGTGTGTAGACGCACCATGAATTTCAGTACTGTACACCAAAACCTGCCTCTTAAATATCCAACGTGGATGTGGTCATTTAAAGTAGAACTGAGCATAACACATAGAGTTTATGTATCCCACGCTTCAGATTTCGAATAAGAATGTGATAATTCATATAAAACTGAAACACTGCACTGCAAGTTCGTGCAGTGCTTACATTAGTAATCCGTACTGTCCAGATGTGAGTTCAATTATATGAAATATCTGTCAGCACTTAATAGCCAAAACGCATTCGTTGATTCCTAATGCATTCTACAATAGTCTTTTCAAATCGTCATATGTGATGACAATTATTGATTAGATCAGAATTGAAAACAGGACCAAGCTCTCCTAGTATAGCTTCATCTATTTTAAGACAGAGGAGATGTGTGAGACACAGAGGGTCATACCTCGATAGTGTAGATATGCATCTGTAGAGATTTACAGTTGAAATTATAAATTGTTTGTTATCATAATAGACTAGCAAAGTTCAGAAGAACATTGCAACATATTTGTTACTGAAGATTATCAAACAATATGAAGATCATCAAACAATATGAAGATCTGTGTATACAGATGCAGTAGTCGCAAGTTATAGGGCATGTCCACTTTAACCAATTATAACTAAATAATGAGCAAGAATAAGCATTAAACCCAATATGCTACATCATGTATAAAGTGGAAAAAGATTGTAAAATTTACCAAATCAAACCATTCCGCAAAATAATAAACTGTAATAGATAAGAAAATTGACAATAGATGATATGATACCATACCTATTGGAAAAAATATGAAACCTCAAATCCTTAACAGAACCAAACCTTATCTTAAGATAGTCAATAATGTGTTATCGAAGTTAACATTTAACAAGACTAGTATAATATCCTAAGTGTGAAAAGAAAATTAACTATATACAATTATGCTTATCTAACAAAGACAGGCACGTCTGATCTTACAAAGTACATTTTGATGAGATGTAAGAAAGCATCATATGTATCTTTATGCTCAAAGATACAATCTAAAGAGGGTGGTGGCCAAGGAAAGTTATACGTCTGAAGTAGAGTTTTTAATATTAATCTTTCAGTTTCCAACATGGGACAGCTGTAAATGTAATGACTGCTGCTGTCAGTACAGTCGCATACAGAGCATTTTGAATTCGATGTATTTTTAAATCTTGAAAGATACGAGTTAAATCTGCCGTGATTTGTCAAGATTTGAGTTAGTTGATGAGATGGTTTATACCATTTGTTCTTAAGGAATTTGAATATATCTTTGATATAGTCATGTGTTACATTTTTACTATTGTTCCAGTCATTTTGCCATTTGGTAATTAGATCTTTCCATAAGATACTTTTGAAAGTTGTTAAGCTGATATTTTTGTATTCGACATTCAGATCTTCGTTGGTAGATGCCTCCTTAGCTATTCTATCTGCCATTTCGTTACCGTAGTGGCCATCGTGTCCCCGTATCCAATTGATAATGTAATAGCTAGAAGATGTATTCATAGTGTGTTGTATCCTATTTGCAATAGGATGAAAATTTTTAGTCTTTAATAATGCAATGGCAGATGCGCAGTCAGATGTAATATTAATCTTTTTATTTATATGGTGTTGAGCGCTCCACGATACAGCTACTAGAAGACCGCGGGCCAACGGGCCTAAACCCGCGGGGGCCAGGGAAACGCGGCCACGCCGGAGAGAAATCTCTCTCGGACCGTTCGGTGTCCCGCGGGCGGACTAAACCCGGCGCCGGCTAACGCAGTCTCCGGGTAGAGGTATTTCGCGGCCGAATTTCGGGTCTTCGACCGCGCCGATTCCCGTAAAACCACAATCTTCTTTACCACTTAACGCGTCGGCGGGCGAAGGCGCGCTCCTTTCCCTTTAAAAACGTTGAAAAATCGTTCTTTCCCACCCCGGTTTTATCTTCCCGTCCGGTCTTTCTCCTTTTCCCACCTTCCGTCTATTCGTTCCTCCGGATGCTCCGGTCGTATTTAATAAAGAAAAAGACGAAACGACCAGCGAAGCCCGGGAAAGTTCTCTTTCTTTCTACGTTTTTATCGTCCCGGTTACGCGCGAAAGAAAACTCCCGAAATGTCGCGGCTCGGCCGGTTTTTCCCAACCGCCTTAACTGTCCGCGGTTCCCTCTTCTACGTCTCTTAGTACGTTTCGCCCGGGTGGGCGAAACGTACAGTACTTTTCATCCAATGGCGGTGCCAAAGGCCGGTAAAAGCTTTTCTAGTTTTGTACTTCGACCGGTGGTCGTCCAGGCGCGAAGTACGAAAAAACGGCCGAAAGACGTAGTCCGAAAACGGAAATACGGTGGAAACGACTCGGTTTTCGTTTTCGTACTATTGAAGTGAGCGGAAGAATTAAACGGCACGGCGCCTTTCCACCATTTCCGGACTTATTTTTTACATTTCCTTTCGACCCCTTTTATTTCCTTCTCCTTCCTATTTTAACGCGGCCGATTTCTGAAACAGAAACAAAATTCCGGTAGTAAACCCGTTCCGCCACCGAGTGGCCCCCGCCAAACTACGGGCGCCGGGAGGTTTAAGGGCCATTCGGCCTGGGTCGTCCGAAAGGAAGGAGCCTTCCCCTAGGATAGGCGAGGGACGACTCGGTAGTACTTACGTTACCCCGCCGGATAGATTTCCGGACGAATCAGTAAAATATGCCGAGGGGGAAAGGTAATTAACCGGAAACGGCCCGAGGCGCGCGGCCGCCCTAATTGCCTTCCGACGGTAATAAAACCCGCTTAACCCGGCGATTAATCGGCAATAAATCGTCGGCGTCCGAAAGTGGGCGGAGCACCCGGGCCGAAGGATCCTTCCACCCGCGAAAAACTGCCGACTGAGGGGGAATATTTCCACCAGTTAAAAAGAAACAATGTACTTTTCCCGGCCGTTACCACTTTTTTATATTATTAAGCAAAAATTAAAATTGCGCGCGGTGTCATCTGCTACCAGATTTTGTTTTAAAAAACTTTCTATAAAATGGCAAAAAGCTTAATTTCCAGAGTAGGGCCAGTCACCGCGCCCAATTCCGTTCTTCGATCCGAGACATTAAACGGAATTGGCGCCGACGGGCGGAAATTTTTGTCCTTTTGCGGATGGGGGAGATCCGAAAACGTGCAGATTGGCAAGAAGCTAGGAGATTCCCACACTTTCTCTCGTTAGGCGCGGGTAAGTAAAACCGCCGAGTTTCGTTCCTTCCGCCTCCCTCGGTCCGACCAATTCCGTACGCGATATTTCGGGAAGGAACTATTTCTCGGGACGGCCACGGACCCGAGTGGTGTTTGGCGCCCACCCGTCTCCGCGGTTCGTTAACTCTCCCGTCCGACGCCACCGGTTGGATTTTTACCTTCCCGAAACGTTTTCGTGGCAATTACTTTATTTCGCCGGTCCCGGGCAAATCGACGGACGGCCAGTGCGGTTAGTTAATAAGAATAAAGTGGTTGGGTTTAAAGGCCAGCGTTGGTTAGCGGCGGAAACGGAAATCTGGGCAGTTATCGTAGTTAAACGTTCCTACCCGATCGGCGCTCCGGGCGTTAAAAAGTAACGGTCGGAAAAGCCTGGGCGCGGAAGAGTCGCCGCTCCCGACCTCTAACGCGGGGACGGAGGAACAAAGACAAAATAAGAGACGAAACGCAAACGTTTTCCGTTTTCTTTTCCATCGATCTACCCTCTAAATTTCAATAGCGTTTTTTAAGAGAACGATTTTCTAATTAACAAACGGGTTCGTAGTGTGCGTGCACGCGCCTGGTTTATTTCATTATTTTTATAAGTAAATAGATAAGGATGGTGGATATCTGCCGGCAAAATTAACAAATGTAGGTAAAAACAAAGACGACGGTGACGTAAAACTAAAAATACCTTACTTTATATATTAAATACAGTATGAACGAAAAGATAAAAGTATTAAAAGGGCCTGGGAAATAACTGGCGGGTCTTAACGGTATCTGACATTTTACCAATATTTACAAACAAATAAATAAATAATATCCGTCGAATCGTCCGCGGGCTCGGTGGCCGTTTCGTATAATATTTCCAGTTAATTTCCGCTTAAAACCTTTTGCCAAACTCCCGCCTACGGAATGGAAGCGTCCCGGGTGGCGCCATCCCCGATATTTTTAATAGCGGAAGTAAAACGCTACCCGGGGGAAATCGGCCTTTACCTATCGACCTATTTGTAATAAAGTCTGGCAATTGGCGCTTATAATTTTTCAAATCGGCGCGCTCGGCTATAACGGAGGAAAATTCTGATATAACGCTTCTGTTTACGTAAGGTAAGCGGAATTTACTGGCCACCCGACCACTTACCGAAACCGCTCGGACTTACGAACGTTAAAGAACCGATAATCCCCGTAATCCCGCGGTCGATATTCCCGGTAATTTACGTCGGTCCCGCCTCGGACCGACCTAAACCTATTTAATCGTAAGGTCTGGTTTCGATTTGTTCAGTGGCGCCGCGGATCGCCGTCCGTCCTAGCCGCAAAGCTCAAAATATTAAATGGCTCATTAGTCGCGCTACGTTCGTTTCTTGGTCGATATCGAAACCTTACACGTTAAAGCGGTTAAATTTCTCCTCTTTCTTAATTAAACTTTACACAATCGAATAAATCTGCCGCCTTTTAGTTGCAAATTTCGAATAAATTAAACCAGATTCGTTCGGTGGAACTCTCCAACTCTTTTCCGTTCGATTTTAAACTCGGTATTTAATCGGTGGAAGATCGACGTTTTAGGACGGAAATTTCGACTTTGCGTTGGCTGGATTATTTAACCGCGGCCTTTTACCTAGGAATTTCCCCTTTCGCCTATTCCGTATTTACAAGGAAGCCGGTTCCCATGGATAATTTGGAACGGCCAGACGACGGATCGACACCGGAAGTAAGTTATTCGTTAACATTTTTTTGGCCAATCGGAAAATTTCTCTCTCCTAGAAAAGACGAAAATGGCGTTTTTTAAACAAAATTTAAAGTTTAAATACAACCACCGACGGATGGAAATTCTTTTATTTTCCGTCGACTTAACCGAAATTAAACGAAAGAAGCGAGAGAATTGATTTTTCCATTAAACTATTTATCGGTAAGCGAAATGCCGTTATTCCGTAGCCTAATTTTAAAAAGAGTTTCCGAATTCGGAGAATGCCCGTCTTTTTCCCGTCGGAACCTTCTTTATTTTATTTAAATCTTTTCCGAAATAAGCGCGTCGATTCGTATTTCTTCGGTAAGATGGTCGTACACCTGGACGGTCGATACTTAAGCGTTTAAAATCGTAGGAAAAACCCGTCCCGGATAAATGGCGGAAAGAATCGGAAGAGTCGTACGAAATGACGAACGAGAAGAAAACGCATTTCCGGGTGAGAAATTTTCATTTTAATTTATGCTAAAAACGATCCTTCCCGGTTAATTATTTTACGGATAGACCACATTAGACGGTATCGGCCTATTCGTTCTTCCTATCGTATCCCCCGACACCGTCGTAGACGGCGCGGAAGGAAGTCGAGTCGGTCGAAATCCAACGTCGGAAAGATTCCGTTAATTCGCGCACGCGGGTAATAATCCACCTGCGCGAATTAACGGCTGGTCACCGCCTCCTCCGGTCCTATTAATGTCGCGGGGATATCGGTCCGATCGGTCGACTTTCCCTTGGCAAATTCCGGTCCGAGCGCCAAGATTTTTAATTCGGCGGAATTCGGACCGCGGGTCGACCCTTGTTCGTTACGGCGCGGTAATTCCGATTGCCGGAAAAACCCCAAAAATAACCGGGGCGGAGGGCAGATTTTTATAAGGTCGTGGCTGCCGACGTCGGATAGGAACGAGTTTCCTTTAACCAAGATTTTCATTCGTACCAACGAAAACGAGTTTTGTCGGCGCGTTTAGATCGGAACCGTCGGTACTTCCGGTTTCCGTTTACGGTTTCGCCGATTTTCTCCCGGCCGTATTTGCGCCAAATGTCCGCGCCCGATTGGGAATCGTTTGCCACTCCGTTCGAATTAGACTAACGAAGCCGGTCGCGCACTATTTAATGAGAAAAAAGCTGCTAAATGAAGAAGAAAAATATTTAGACGGGTTTTAATTTTCTTTCGCGTTTAAAAATAATAATTAACGTAAAATTCGGAAATAGACGGAAGACTTAGAAGTAGGAGAAAATGCGTGCGAAGAGGAGGACGAACGTCGGGTGAGCCGTGATTTTTCCACTTTTAATTTTCTAAAATTTTTTGGAAATTTCTGCTAATTAACGTTCAACACTTTAAGGAAAAGACTTTTCCAAATTACCGGACGACCGAGAAAAGGATTAGTCGGTTTCTCGACCGGATGAAAATGCCCAACATATCGAAAGACGAAAGTCGGACCGATTCCGGAAGAAAATCCAGCGTGACGACTCGAGATAAATGGGGAAGCAAATGGGAATTCTTCTTGTCCTGTTTAGGACTTTCCGTGGGACTGGGCAACGTCTGGAGATTCCCTTATCTGGCTTACGAAAACGGAGGAGGTCAGTTCTAGTCGATTAAAGTTCGGATTCGGCCAAACGTTTCTAGTCGTCTCCGCGCCGTATTTTTGCCAATTAAGGAGACGACGCGAATAGTGTCCGAGGAAAGACGTCTTTTACTCTTAAATATTTCGACAAACTTCCTGGCGGTTCTTCGTCCAGCTTCGATAATCTCTCGTCTATTTCTCGTTCCGGTTGTAACCGTCGGCAAATGCACGCTTCGGGCACGTAAGAAAATAATTTCTCCGCCAAAAATGGAATTCGCGTTTTAAAAGTCGGCGATAAATCGAAAGTCTGGCCTACCGCCGGCGACGAAATCGGTATCGTGGCGTTTATTTGCCGTTTTTGACTGTTGGTTGGCAGCCAAACGCGCTTAGATTTAAGACGATCTCGATTTACCGTCCTCCGCTTTCTACCGTGCCCGGCATTACTCGCTGGCAAATTTTAAAATCTTAATCCACGCGAAAATTAGCGCCGATTACGTTTAAAAGTTTACCAATCCTATCTGTTAAATGCCCGGACCTGGTCATCCTTTAGGCGGCGCGCATCTATCGTCATCCCGTGGCGACGGGGAGGATGTCGACCAGCGCCGACACGGGCCGGTCTGGCCACTTCCCAGCGATTTATACATCGAGGCGCATAAATTTTAGTTTTGTTAGAAAATTTCCATCTACCACCATTTACTAACTGGAAAGACGCGTACCGTTCTTTTCCATTTGTTCGCAACAAAGAGGGCGTTAGAAGCGGTTCTATTCCCTCCGCCTAATCCGGTAAGAACGAAAGTTAAAATATATAATCGAGGTCGTACGCTTACCTCCGTCTGTATTGCGTATTACGCGAAGTACTTCTACTCCATTAGTCATTCAATATAAATATATAGGCTACACACCGTACGAACAAAGACCATTTAAGACTAGCTTGGAACTTTACAATATTCCGAGTAATTATAGGAAACTAAAATAGCGGCTTATTTAATTAATAATTTTGCAAAAACATTATCGTTTTCGTAATTATCGATAACACAATCTTGGCGTAAATGTTTACCAGGAAATTTCTCTCGAGCGTTACGGATCATTAACGGTTAGAAGGAAATTCGACCGGACCTCGGCTTCTTCGGTTTTCCAATAACGACGATCGTCTTTTAGATACGGTAAAACTCGTCGATATCCCGGACACCTCCGTATCTTAAACACTTTCGCCCGGAACCGGACTAATGCTATGTCTCGGACACTCGTCCGGTCACGTTTTTGCCATTCGAGTCTAATACTTTCGGAAATTTGTCTCTCTACTTTGAAAGTCTCCGGTCATACTACACCAACGTCGTGTTTTAAGGTCTCGTCGGTTAAAAGCCGATAAGAAAAATTACGGCAAACTTCCCTTTTTATGGCATTTAGAGAGATTTTCCACATTCCCGACTACAAATAGCCCGGAGCGTCGTTTCTTCCTATAGACCGGGCTGCCAAATCGGCTATTTCGGCACCCAAAAAATTATCCGCAATTGGAGCTTTTGTTCGCTCCTAGTTGACGTTGGTTATTGCCAATCCGATCCGCGTTTTAATTTATTTTTCACCCTACGTCGGTCATTGGGTGTAAATTGAGTATAGATATATTTTTTAAATTTTTGTCTTCGCTCTACGGGCGTAAGTTTGAGGCGTAGGCGCCGCGGAGTGTTAAGACTTTTTTCGAGCCTACGACCGATTCGGACGAGCAACGAACAATAGGGTCCGACTAGGGACGTAGCGACGCGAGATACGGACAAGGGCCAATGCCGACCAAAAATTTTTGAGCGTGCCGAACGTTATAATAAGAATAATAGGCCTCTCTCTCTAGCATTAAAAATAGGCAAAAACGTTATTTGGTACGAATAAAAAAGTATGGACTATTATAAAGCCCATTATATCTACGCACGAAATATATTACAGTAGAGCGTCGTTTATCCGAAAGAATTCCAGTCGGCAAATTTAAATTTTCGCTAGTGCTGTGGCGCTGCAATCTTTGGCTGTATCTTGGACTACTCCAATATATTTTTTTCTTGATGTGTGTTTTAGCTGGCAGCATTGGTCCTTTTGTGTGGTGTTTTTCTGAGTACTGTGTCCTGCTGAATCGAACGTTTTTGATACTAGATTAACTTCTAAAGTATAAATTTGTTTTTTTTTATATTTTTCAATATATTTATTTTGTTTGTACAAAATAAAAAAATAATTTTTAACGATACAATAGTCACGATTATTATTTTAAAAAGCTTACGTTAGGCTTAACATCGACGAAAATTCGAGGCGAAGCGACACGCAACGGAGAAAAATTTCAACACGGGATGGGTTAATACAGGTAGGCATCCTACAACGCGGTAGATACGTTCCTTGAAAATACCGCGTTGTGGGAAATCGCGTTATAGGAGACACCAAGTTAATGCAAAAACCGGGATTCGGTTGCAAAAAGAGAAATACTTGACGTTTGAATGGCGTTTTTTGAATTTTTCAAACTAGCTATTGCTAGCCACGAATTTAACACTGGTTTCATCAGCCGACGACTGTCCCATTTTTTTTTAAATAATCAAATATTTTTAAGGCTTTGTGTTTAAGTGCACTTTTATTTAAAGGCAACCGTTTCTTGTTCATATCTTCTACCCATGATATTAGCGCTTGTTTTCATTATAGGTGCTCTCGGAGGAGCAGCATTTTTCGCAAGAATAGATGATCCTGATGCGATTGAATTCCTAATCTTTTCTTCCTATTGCTTAATCGACCGAATAGTTGACTCATTTAAATTAAAATGCCTACCAATATCAATATTTATAGGGGGATAGGAGGCATTACTCAGTGGTATATCCTCAAAGAGATGAAAAGAAGTGAGAAGGGTTAGTTGGAGGGAAAGTCTGTTGTGGCAGGGCCGAAGGTGGGTGGAAAGCGGAAGAGAGATGAGAACTGGAAGGGGAGGTCAAGAGCCGCACTGCAATATCAGCTATCCGCTCCTGATTTTTAATTCGATTCAAAATTTCTATCTTTGTTTGAAGAGATATATTAATCAATTTTATTTCTAACGACGGTCCTTTCTTTTCATTCGACATTGTTATGGCTAAAATTTTTTCAAGCAGTTTTGTGGACAGTAAAAATCGCAAAAAGTAACTTCCCTTCACTATGTTGTTAAAAATATACACCCAATAGACGTTTATACTGTATTTGGACCATTTTTGCGGTCCCCACCTATGGAAAGAGTATAAATGATTGAAAATTCAGTGATATATTTGAGTGTTTATAGTAACTGATGCACATCTGTCTAGATACCGGTCTTCTCCTGAAACTTTCATGGGAATAACACGTCAAAGTGGAAAAACAGCTGTTTGCCAGAACATTTATCTCTGTACACCGAACTGCGGCGCGTATTACGTGATCCGTTGCGATTTTTCTGTTATGTGATTTTTCTGTTCGTTTCTAAATATCGTAAACCGCATTGTAAGAAAATTTCCTCATTTTTCCAACCGCGTTGGAGCGAAAACGCGTTGTAAAGACACCGCGTTGTAGGAGGCCTACCTGTATATTTTTTTCGTATATAATCGGTTATCCGAAAAATAAGTTATCCAAACAACCACAGTCCCTAATTGATTCGGATAAACGACGCTCTACTGTATAATGAAAAAGTATTTAAAATTTATGACGATAATTGAAGTTTTGTGGGCCCGGGGCTTAAGCCCTATTAATCTCTACGTAGATCCATCACCGTACAATACACAATGTATGCCGACCGGGTACCGCCAGCTTTCGATACAATCCGACCGCGTGAAATGCTTCGAACGAGATCATGCGCGCGCCCGCGCGCTTGTTTGCCGCGGCAAACGCCGTCCACACGAGCGCTAGGCCCTAGCCGTCGATGTAAAAGCAAACACAAATGATAAACGAGTTTTAGACATTAGTTCTCGTATAAAAAATATATTGACAGTGAAAACTTTCTCTTAAGCGAGCCCGGAGGATGCCAGCCTCCGCTGTTCGGTCCGCGGCTGGGTTTTAAAATGTTTGGCGTAATCGCAACTTTTAACGTAACACGCTTTATTCTGCAAATTATTAAAACTGAATTCTAGTATAAACTAAATGTTACCAATACCGTATCGGTCGACTCGAGATTTTCAAATTTTTCAAATAATTGCCCAATTGTTTATAAATAGTAATCCCAACGCTAGGCACGCCGTACGTACGAGTAGATTCCGGAGATGAAATTTATTGATTTTTGGTCATTAATATCAGCCAAAAAAGTTTAAGATTTGTCATAATCCGAAACCGTATCGCCACTTCTTTGATTCTTAAACACCGCGTAGCGTAATAAATTCAAACACTCGGCGTTCTATCGTCTTTATTTAGTAGGGTCGATACGTGTTTAAAATACACGTTTCGGGCGTAAAATTATATCAAAAAATACATACGGTACGTAAAAGGTTAAGACGCAATACGATATTAAATTTCAAATCAAGTTCTATCTCGTACTGTTATATAAAAAATTCGTACTCACTAAATGAAACACAGATACATCCTCGTTAGTTTTACTTTATACTGTCATCAACCACTTTTACTACGCAATTCCATACTAATTAGCATATTTTTACATCGTAAAGAGGCCAGTTCGTGATTGATTATAAAAAATTATAAAAACGAAAAACTTTTTTAAAAAATTATCAAAAAATTCTTTCAAATTCCTTCCGCAATACCCTAAGCCAATTTCCACTTATTTTTACGCTTAAATTTTTATTTATACAGTTTTTACTTTTAATGATTTGTACACTTTCTTTAAATCTTCTGTTGTATGGACCGAACTAAATGATGATGATAAAACGCCGAGTGTTTGAATTTATTACGCTACGCAGTGTTTAAGATTTGGTTTCGGTTTCGGCCCGGATTGACTTTAAAACCCAAATTCGACTGCAAAATCCTATTTCGGTCAGATCTTATCCGTCTGCGAAAATCGTCCGAAGTATCGGGGACTTCCCTAGGTCCGACGCATTCAGAATCGACCACTCTCCCAAAAAATACTTTGGTTTCTTCGGCTTTTTTTATAACTTCTTCCACTCCGCCAGCGGTAAGAGTTGGGCCGGGCCCACCATGGGGCAACCGGGTGGTGAGGAAAGGATGGGGCCGACGTATTCGGAGTGATCCCCGTTCGAAATATTCCTGGGGCATTTTCCAACCGGAGTTCCCCGGAGTGGTGGGCCGCCGCCGGACGACGCTTCTACACGCGCGTGCAGGCAAGATGTATATAAATACGTCTGGACGCGATTCCGCCATCCTTCGCGGCGGCGGCCATTTTGGGTCTTATCGATAGAGCATACCCGCGAGAGGTTCCCGCGCGAATCGGTTATATTTAAGCGGGGGCGGATCTAGGTTTTTCGGGACCTAGGGCTTATCGAACTTCGATGGGTTCCCATTTTTTGTTAGATTAAATTGGGGTTTAAAATTCAATTTTAATAACATCAAAATCAGAGTTTAAATACAGTGGAGCGTCGATTATCCGATTCAGTTGGGGACTGGGGTCGTTCGGAAGATCGATGTTTCGGATAACCGATTATGTAGGAAAAAATATATTAATTTATCTCATCTTGACATTTTTCTCCGTTGCGTGTCGCTTCGCGTCGAATTTTCGTCGATGTTAAGCCTAACGAAGACTATTGTATCGTTAAAAATTATTTTTTTATTTTGTACGAACAAAATAAATATATTGAAAAATATAAAAACAATAAAAAATTATACTTCAGAAGTTAATTTAGTATCAAAAACGTAAAACATTTGAGTAGCCCAAGACATAGCCAAAGATTGCAGCGCCACAGCACCGGCGAAAATTTAAATTTGCCGACTGGAATTCTTTCGGATAATCGACGTTCTACTGTATATTTATTTTTGAAATGGTGTCGAATGACGATAAGTGCCGATTGTTAAGGAAAAAGTATTTAAAATTTATGATAATAATTAAATTTTTTGGGCCCTCGACACGCGTCGGTCCAGGGCATAAGCCCTATTAGTTCCTACGTAGATCCGCCCTCGTATTTAAGTGCTCAAAAAATGAAAGAATGGGTTGTCGCGTAACACCAAATTGTAAAAGTAATCTTCGGATGCTAGATTATTTCCATTTCCTTCGGATAAGCAAAGAAAAGTAAGATGGGTGCAAAACTTCAGACGGAATAAGTGACGGCCAACCGAACATTCCGAACCGGGTACAATTGCGGATGCGAACGACACCGTTGGGACCTGGACAGAGCCCGTAGAAGAAACCGTACCTCTACGCGCGACCCTTCTCGAGACGTAGCCCCTGGAAATCAGCCGCACGCCATCGGGAGTGGAAACGCGCACCGCTAAGATTACGCGTTTAACTATTTATCCTACACGACTACGTCGGCTTCGAGTAGCCCATTCGACTCGTTGGTGGAGTACTCGACGATATAATTTTAGAGGTCGCCGAAACGGAGCCTCGACCAAGGGGGAGCGTGGAGAGTAGGCAATAATACCGGTTCACGGTAAATACCGTTTTTAGTCAGAAGTTAATGCATTTATTTGTTACGGGCACGATGGCCTCGCCTATAACAATTTGTTCGTAAGCGTGACGTCCGCCAGCAAAATGGCGATCGGAACTGCGCCATCGATTTCCACATTTAGACGCGAATATCTGGCAAAGGGTGGCAATTCGGACTTTTCTTTTTTCTTTACCGATAAATATGTTTAGCTCGTCCGATCACCGTGTCGGACTGTCCGTTAAACACTCGATAGGCGGCGGGACTCCCTACAGTGTCCGGAAGTAGGCCGTAGACCGATTTCCGGGAGGGGAGGCTATATCTCGCCGAGAGTCACGTATAGCGGTACAGTTCCTTTGACTTTTCTTCGATATTACCCGACCACTTTAGGAAATGCCTACGTAGGTGATAAAACTAATGCAGCTACTAATTTAATTACAATAGTTTCGATGGAGACAGCAAACGATAAGGACACTCTTTATTTTAAACCATTCGATCGAGTTACATAAAATTACCATGGCGTAATCGTCCGAAATTATTATTAGACCGGAATCTCAGCGGTTTTACGTAATTTCGGTTTAATGTGGCATAAAGCTAACTGCCGGTGCAAGTTTGTTTAAAATCTGCACCATTCAAAAAGTCCCAAAATGGTGGCTCCGTAAGTAAGATAACGTCGGTGTCCAGACCTATTTTTATAGAGCTGGCGTGCAGGAAGCGACTACCGAGCAACTTTTATTTTCTTCTTTGGAAACGACGATCTAGTGCCAAACAAACCTCCCAGGGGGCATAATCTATAATCTACGTTTCTTCGTACAATTTCAACGTATTAAACGATAACAAATACGTAACTCATTCCCTTCTTTATACGCTGTACTTATTTCGTACGCGCGAACCTTAGGTTTTTGAAACTTTCAGTTCACCCCTGGAATGGTGGAGACCCCCAGTTTAAGAAACGCCGCGCCTCGGTTCTAGACAGCCGACTGCGTGGAATAAAATGTACTAATGCAGTACCTATATTTTGTACGGGTAGAATCGTAACGGCATCCGGTCAGAACTTTTATTTGTACAGATATTTTTGGCTGGTCAATTCGAGCAACTTTTATTTTGACCGACCGGGCAAAAGCGAATATGGTCCGTCTGATGGGAAAACATTTTTTCCGCAGGCGCCTTCTTAATACCTTATTTCGTCGTGCTGTTTCTCTGCGGCAAACCTCTGTACTTTTTGGAACTGGCCTTGGGTCAATTCTCGGGAAAGAGCTGCGTCGGCGTTTGGTCTTGCGCTCCCCTGGCCAAAGGTGAGACCCAGATCAAATATTAAAGTATATTTGTCTATACGTAATAGGTAATATTTTGCAGGCGTAGGAATCGCCATGTGTTCGGTGTCTTTCTGCATCGTCATATACTACAACGTCGTACTGACCTACACTCTCTACTACATGTTCGCTTCGTTGGCTTACGTCTATCCCTGGAACACCTGCGACTTGGAATGGGCCGAGAACACGTCTTGTAGAACGAGATGGGAATCCATTCGATACGTAAGTAAAAGTGCGGAGATCGGAGTCTTACTTTCTTCGTGGCCACGGAAGAAAATGGACGGATCTCGGATCCGACTTTTTTTGCCCACGGTGGCGGGAGCCGACAGGAATTATAAATATATTTTCGAGAATATAAAGGCCACCTTTCTTTTTCGCATTTTATCGTTTTAAATTCGACGGGGATTTTCTCGTAATCGAATGTGTTCAAATTACGTTTCTTCCCCGTCATTTCGGGTAAGTTGAAATTTAAGATCGACATCTTATTCGTTTATCGGCATTTCTTCCAACGTTCGTCGATTCGCTTAAATTAAACTGCGGAGAGACGGATGGTATTGTTTACGTCTGTATCGGTCGTACGGAAATATTCCCCTCTCTAAGGACTAAAAACTTCGATTACCGGAGTGACCGGGTGGGTGTTTCGTTTCTCGTTACGGGAATACGTCCACTTCCTTTAACGTAGATGACGTCGGACTAAAGACGAAGGAATTCGACAGCCGTTATCGAATTATTACGGGGGTGGAAATACGAACTTTAGACCGGATTTTCGTTAAAAGACGGAAAAATAAACTCTCTTCTTCTTTTTTCCTAGAACGTCAGCGGGAAAACGCCCAGCGAAATCTATTGGGAGTAAGTAAATTTTCGTAATTTATCCCATGTCGTTACGTAAGAGAAACGACGGGTGACCGGTTCGATTATCTTTAGAAAGAAAGTGTTAGACGCCACCGACGATCCGTCCAATTTGGGAGGAATCAAGTGGGATTTGTTCTTTACTTTGATGCTGGCTTGGATGATCGTCGCCGTCTGCCTGGTCAACGGAATCAAAACTTCCGGAAAGGTGGGTGTCGCCGTAATTTCCGTCGGGTCCGGAACGTTCCGACCGACGAACTTTCTACTTGCAGGTGGTCTACTTCGCCGCCACCTTTCCTTACGCGGTCTTGGTCCTTTTCTTCGTGGCGGGACTGTTTCGACCGGGAGCCAAAGACGGAATCGTCTACTTCCTCTACCCCACTTGGTCCAAATTACTAAACGCGGAGGTTGGACACCGCCGTAATCTAAACGCGCGCGGTCGATAAATATCGGGAATAAGCGTTGTTTTTCCAGGTGTGGAAAGCGGCGGCGGGACAGATGTTCTTCTCTCTGGGCGTGTCCATGGGAGCGTTGATCTCCTACGGCAGCTATAACGAATTTCGCCACAACGTGTACAAGTGAGTAACGCCGACCTTCCACCAATTGCCGAAGGGCTAAACGTGGCATTTGTTGGCACAGGGACGTGATGATAATAAGTCTGTCGGACACCTTGACCAGCATTTTGTCGGGCTTCGTGGTCTTTTCCACTCTGGGTAATTTGGCCCGGGACCTGGACGTGGAAGTATCCGAAGTGGTGGCCGGAGGTATCGTACGTCCCTACCACTCCTCGGCCTTCCCAAACTCGAAGGTAACGAGGGATTAATAATTGCAGGATTCGGACTGGCTTTCGTAGTTTATCCGGAAGCGCTGAACTCCTTTCCTCTGCCGCAATTTTGGTCCTTCCTCTTCTTCTTCATGTTGTTTACCTTGGGAGTCGACAGCCAGGTGAGTACTCTCCTCAATTAATCACCCGCGAATACAGAATAAGTTTTGTCGTCCGGAAACGGCGTTACCGCGAGAGTTTACCGACCGAACGGTCTGGGTCGGAAATAAATTGCGTAAGAAACGGGTTTACCGGAAAGCTACCGCTCTCGGAAAAGGTTTACGTCGTCGGTCGTCGCAAAGTTTATTTCCGCCCGGTCCGGTTAAGAGGAAAACGGACCGAAAGAGACAGTCTCTACCTTTAATTTAATAAAGGAGGCAAAGTACTGTACATAAAGCCAGCAGCGCCGAAGATTAAACTTCCGTAGCTATAAATAAACTTTACGCTTAGTGCCGGACGAGAAACAGCTTCCTCCGGCGGAGGGGGTGGTGACTTTTGGCCTTTCGAACCTTGACGATAAATACGACGTTGGGCGAAATTAATTAAAAGACTATTTTCCCTTCTTTCGGGATTTTTACGAAAGTTGGGATAACGAGAGAAGCCCGTAATCTGGCAAATGACCAAACTGGTCAACACCGAATTACCAGACAAATTTCGCAAATCGTTTACCTTATCGGCTAAACGGATAAAGGCTTTTTTAACCGCAGTTTAAATGGCTTATCAATTGTTAAAACGCGGTCTCGGAAAAGTATCCCCGGCATCCGATTTTTTTACTTTTCTCAATTTCAGTTCGGTTTGGTAGAAAATCTTCTGACCAGCATCTCGGACGAATTCCCCAAACTCGGACGCCGGAAGAAAGCGCTGTGCCTGGCCCTCTGTCTCCTTTGTTTTCTCCTGGGCATCCCTTGCGTCACTCGGGTAAGCCGACGTTTCTCGTCTCTCTTTTTCGCCAAAAGGATACTTTCCACCGTTCGACGTCGAAACTCGCGCTACGGTGGGGGGACGATAGATCCCCTCGCCGTAGAACCCCCTAACTCTGGCACCGGCAAAATCATTTTTACTCTCGAGTACTTTCCGCCTTAGAAGGTTAGAATGATATTTAAATAGACCCACGGACCGTTGCGGACAATTTAAAAATAAAAATAGAATATTTGCTCTTACAAAAGATTGTTCGTTGCTCAAAAGCCTGGGAGTTAACAACGCGAGTAAACAAATAAACGAAAAAGAAGCTAAAGATTGTCCGTAAGCGACTTTTCATAGTGGTTCGTGTACGGATGCTATTAAATTTTGGTGATTAAAGGGGATGGCGCGTGTCTCCGGCAGGGTCGGACTTAATGCCGTTAACAGTTTTTTAGAAAACCCGTCCCTACCCTGGAAATTAACTGTTATAAAATGGCAAAAAGCTTAGATATTAAATTAATTTTTTAAATAAAATATCGCCACCAAAATTTTTAAATGTTGCCGGGAAAGTCGAGCAACTCGTACGCCGGTTTATTAGGATAGACGCCATATACGAGGGCTGTTCGGAAAGTTCGCGGCCTCACATAGAAAAACAAACAAAATAATGTTAAAACTTTTTTTATTTTTCAACGTAATCTCCTCTGTTAGCAATGCACTTATTCCAGCAATGTTCTAGCTTTTTTATGCCATCACAATAGGTCGATTTGTCAAGGTGTGCAAAATAATCGTTCACTTCAGAGATGACTTCGTCATTTGAGTGGAATCTCTTTCCAGCCGAGAATTTTTTTAGGTTTGGAAAAAGGTGGAAGTCACTGGGGGCCAAATCAGGTGAGTACGGTGGATGTGAAACTAATTGGAAGCGAAGTTCGTTTATCTTTTGTTCAGTGATTCTGGCGGAATGTGCAGGTGCATTATCGTGGTGGAACAGAACTTTTTTCTTCTTCAAGTGTGGCCTCTTTTCTTCGATTTCTTTCTTCAGTTTTTCCAAAAGTTCACAGTAATAGACAGCATTAATGGTCTTTCCTCTTTCTAGGTAGTCAATAAAGATGATGCCTTTAGCATCCCAAAAAACCGAGGCCATCACTTTACCCGCTGATGGAACTGTCTTTGCCTTCTTTGGTGGTGGCGAACTGTGGTGTTTCCATTGCTTCGACTGTTCTTTTGTTTCAGGAGTGTAGTAATGGATCCACGTTTCGTCAGTAGTCACAAACCGACGCAAGAAATCCTGTGGGTTTTTCTGGTAGAAGTCCAAACACTCCTTTGACATCAAAGTGCGAACACGTTTTTGCTCGGCGGTCAGCAGATGCGGCACCCACCTTGCTGAGACCTTCGTCATACCCAAATCTTCGGTTAGGATGTGGTGCACTCGGTCGACAGAGATGCCTGTTGTCTCAGCTATCTCACGCGTTTTCAAACGGCGATCTGCTAATACCAAATCGTGAACTTTGTCGATGTTTTCTTCAGTGACAGCAGTTGATGGCCGTCCGCTGCGAGGGTCATCTTCCACACTTTCTCTGCCAGATTTAAAAAGGGCTGTCCATTTTTTCACAGTGGTGTACGAAGGAGCAGACTCTCCTAAAACTTCATCCATGTCAGCTTTGATTTGAGATGCGGTCAACCCTTTTTTCGTCAGGTATTTTATGGCCGCACGAGTCTCCGTCTTCTCCATTTTTGACAAAGCATGTGCACACTGACTATCTGCTAAGCTGTCGTGGCAAAACTTTTTGACAAATCAAGCGGAAATTGGTATCGTATCTTTAGCAAAGATGGCTGAATTATTTCCGCCAAAAATTAAATTGATCGCAGCGCCGCATATAGGCAAGGCCGCGAACTTTCCGAACAGCCCTCGTATAGTTAAATTTGTATCCGTCGAAAATTAACCGCGATGTTTTTATTACAACGATGGAAATAACGAAACACCGATTAGACGGATGGGATGGGACGGGTCCGACCCCCCCCCCATCATCCCCACGTCCGGAACGAGGAAAGTGTCGATCCGGAGTCATTCTAATATTTAAATATATTTTGTTATAACCAATTTTAAACGGGGTATTTTAGGGAGGACAATACGTCGTAAGCGTTATGGACGAATACGGAGGAGGAAGCGCCTTGGTTCTGGTGGCCGTGTTCGAATGCGCGGGATTCTGTTGGGTTTACGGTAAGAAGAGTCTTCCCTTTTCTTCTTTTCCGTTACCTACGGCATTTTTCGTCCCCAGGAGTGGAGAACGTCGGCGCCGACGTCCGAGCCATGTTGGGCTTCGAACCCGGTGGCTACTGGAAGACGACTTGGCGCTACACCTGCCCCCTGGTTCTCTCGGTGAGTATCGACGGTTGCCAAATCTTTGGCCGGGAGAGGACGGCGTTAATCGCTGGTTCGACGGTTTTCAGTTGGTCTTCGTCTACGGGATGGCCACTCGGACGCCGCTAAGCGCCGATCCCCGTTATCCGGTTTGGGCCGACGCGGCGGGTTGGTGCGTTTCGACTCTGGTCTGGCTGCCGATTCCCTTGTGGGCGGCGGTGGTCGTCTACAGACAAAAGGCCTCCACCTACCTCCGGGTGAGTATTTCGGTTTTGTCGGTTGTCTTACTTAAGTATTTAAGACGTTTTGGCAACAGTCTCCACAAATTCTCGTTGGAAAAGATACGGGACTAATCCCTCGGCGGATGGAGTCCAGGATCGAGTCCGTCCGGACGTTTCCAAACCGCGTTTACCAACGATTTCGCGTTAGCTTTTATCGGCCGACCACCCAACGGCCCGCAATCGAATCCGGGTGGGCGGACAACCCCGGAATTTTCGGGGCGGTCCGTTCCCGGTCGGCACCGAGAGGGTCCGAGAAAAGGCGCCGACCGGGCAGATTCGGAAATAGAAACGGTAAAATTACGTAAATATCTGCGAAATTTTCGTAATGTATTGTTAAAGCGCGGAATTAATTTTCTTTGTTTTATTTCAGAAACTGAAAATGTCTTTAATACCCACCGGAGACTGGGGTCCTAACCATCCCCGGGCGGAAAATTCCCTTCCCGGTTGCGCGACTATCGAAAATGGAAATTCCGCGTAATTCGGCCTTTCCGTCGTCCGAAGAATTGTGGTTAAATTGGTCGAAAGCATTGGGTTCGGCCGGTTAGATTTTTAAGTTTTGAAATTTGGCCAGGAATAATACAACAAAAGCCGAAACGGAGGAGGAGAAATTGGGCTTTGATCACTTTACGCAATTGTTTCTCGGAGGATATTAGGCGCGATTTATTGGAACCGACATATTTAAAAAGTTAATTTTCGACTTGGGATATAAGAAAAATATGGAATTAAAATGTAACTATATATATTTCCAGTATTTTAAAATCTTTCTCCTAGCCCGTTTCTCTCGGAACCGCTTACATTTTATACACGAAAATGGAGGGAAAAGATGGGGTAATTTACTTTTGCCATTTAAAATGGCAAAAGTAAATTACCTCATCGCTAACGCTTTTGCCGGTAGTCGGCGGGCAATTATTTACACTCGGTCACGCTTACTTCCCGACGGTCGTGTCCGTTTAGCCGGAGAAAGACCACCCGAAAATAATATAGACTATCGACGTATCGTCCGGAAATAACTGTTCTTTCTTACGTGGGGAATGCGCGCCACTTAAAAATATTCCAAATACGGCAAAATATATTTAACGTCGGCTTTTGGCCTCCTCTCCGATTTTAAAGGTCGGCTAAATAACCGAAAGATAAATCTAATTTTTCTTTCCGTTCGTTCTCTAACAAAACTAAACGCGCACTTATTTTCGCCCGTTGCTCTTCGAAATGCCCGTTTTAATTTTTATTTCCGCGCCGGCTTTTTCTATTTTTAGGAAGCCCCGGCCGGTGTTTACGTCTAGATGCCGTCGGTTTTACGCGCGGTGCTCCGTAATTATTTATATTTTCTCTTTACCGCAGACGTTCGTCCGCCGGTGGTAAACGGTGCTAACGTACCCGCGGTTTACGTCGGAACGTTGGACGATTTGTCTTAATTTGTTACGCCGGCGCCTCGGGTCCACCTACCGCCGTAACATTCGCTCCCTGATATTTTCTTAATAAACTTTTAATTTGGCCTCGTTTAAACGTTCTTCCTCGACGTTAATTCGTCCTATTTTCTGGCCGAAAGATAAATTCCCCTCCAAACCGGAATTTACCATTTCCCTTCCTACCGCGCCAGCTATCCGTCCCACACACCCGCTTTCTCACTTTCCTTCTAAGCAAACGTAAATTTACTCGGTGGCGGGCTTTATTTTTCCGGACTTTGCCTTTCGGAACGCCCCTTAATTAGACGGAACCCACCGGCGTCTTTCAAACCCGACCCGGCGGTTCCCTTTCCCCCACACCGGGAATTCGGTGGTAGGTTGGCGCCCGGCCGGGAAGGGCCGCCGCGTGGAGTTTTCCGGGTTTTCTCCGAGTCCGTAACGCCCGTTACCCTTAAAATAGCTAAACGTCTCGTCCTCGATCGGTACTTTCCCTCGGCTTTTATTTACATCGACGGGTTTGGCGCGTCTTCCTCCCCTCGTAACTTCGCTCGTCCCGGAAAGTGGCCCCGACGTTATTTCGGGTTACGGGAGTCGCTTACCGCGGTTTACGTCTCGATCGGCCTCTTCGGGTTTTCCTTTCGGCCCATTTCCGACCAAACCGGCCGAGATTTCCGGATTTTCTCCGTGGCGAAAATTCCCCCCCCCGACCGGATGGCCCGGGCACACCCGTAAATCCGATTCGATATTTCGGTAATAGTCTGGGTTTGTTTTTCTCGTTAACCCGATGGTCATTTTATCCGCCTCGGGTCGAGGCCGGCAATTTTTTCTAACTACAAACGGAAACGACGTAGTCCGCGGCCTCTCTATCACAAAGTTTATGTATTCCAGTCTTCCCGCGCGCGATAAAGTTTATACCTATTTACGGAATACTTTAAACACGGATAGAAATTTTGAAAAATGAAAGGCGTTTTTCGAACAATTTCTCCTCCCGGTAAAAGGCGAAAGACGTTCCGCCCCGTTCAGCTTTTTATAAAGAAAACTGTCGATCGACGGACTGAAACAAACTCCGAGGACAAATAATTTCTAATACCGTCGAGTCCGGAAGGATCTCTGCCCACCGAAAATTCCCCGGTGGCAAATTTGCCGTAAACGGCCACGCTTACCTACGCAAATCGATGAAATATCGGAATCGGGAGTCGAACCCGGAGGCGCGAGTGTTTTGCCAGCCGCCGGACGATTCAACGTGAAATATTTTTATTTGCAGATACATCATACAACAGTGAAAGACAAATCGCGTGGACAACGCTTTTTATATCGGCATAAATCGCATTCGGTCGTCCCGCTCGAATCCGCAGCTCCACCTTCCACCCGCTTCTCTTACGTAAATTACGATAAATGGTATTCCGGTTCCGGACGCATCGCCCCGCGGAAACCGCCGTTTCGTTTCTTTTTCCCCACCTCCGTCCACCAATTACGATTAAACAATTTGCCGTAATTTTATTCGCCCGTCCGACGTCGACTTATACGGCGGCGCCCGGAATTTTCCGAGCGTAAGTCCCACCCGCGGCTTTCGACGTCCGAATCTTGGCAAAAACGAAACGTTACAAAAAAAAAATGCGATAAATATCCCATTATTTACAAACAATATACGGAAGAACGTCGACAGAGGCGGGTAATGTCGGGTGCGCTTGGCCCGCGCCCGCGGGTGTTGCGAAACGGCAGACTAAGGCCAGGAACACACATGCGTAAAATTCGGCGTAAAATCTAGCATAAAACAGAAAACGTAAAAATTTTTCTGAAATTTTGGCTGAAACAAAACTGAAAATAGAGTAGAGCAAAAACAGAAACTGAACTGAAAGCTGATTTCTGATTCAGTTTTCTGCCACACAATTTTACGCATGTGTGTTCCTGGCCTAATACCAAACGACAAAAATCTACGATATTCTTCTACTGTTTACTAAAACTCGGATGCGTTCTAAGGCGACGGATATCCACGGCTATTCTAGGCGCGAGGAACGACTAATTGCTTATAATAAATAGGAAAAATCCTAGCGTTATTGCACGGTCCGGCGCGACCTTTCTTCGTACGGGGCAGACGCGAATTTAGAAAAAAAACAATTCGGGAAACTGAACCGCGTAAACGGGTGGAGCGGTAATCTGACACGAGTTATCCTCTTTGCTAGCCGGATGGGGGGAACTGGGTCTGCTCGACACTTCTACCGACGGCGGCATCTTTCCGAATATCTCGTTCAACTTGTTTTGTAGATCGATCGTCTGTCGAAAGACCAACGGCTGATTAGTTATTTACCCATTATTTTCAAATTAAAATTGTATCGTTCGTACCTCGTGTTCCGATTTTGCCACCAGATCCTCGAAGGGAGCCGTTCGAAATCTCTCTATCACCTGCAAACGTCTTTCTTCTTCCGCCTCCTGTTGCGCTCCCAGCGGTTCCGCCATCATTTTCCTCAAGGATTCTACGGTTATTTCTTCTCCCAGATGCTTCTGCCATAGATTAACCAATTTTAAATGTCTATTTCGACTTTCGTAACTTGGCTTATAAATAAACTTACCAATTCATTTTAAGTTGGATACCGTTGGAAATAAATTAAAGCCGCTATTAGAAAACACGCTGAAGATATTTTTAATTACTTACTTAAAAGCAAAAATTTGAATAGTCGTGTTCGTTACCTATTACTGGCGAAGATTGCCTAAGGCGGGGGTCGGAAACCTTTTTGGCGCCGACGCGATTCTGCCAATTTTGTTACATATACGGTCCGGTTATAACTGACTCGAAAAATTTCAAGTTGTTAATTACGTTCTTACGCGTGCACTGTAGTATAAATATACGAGCCAGAGATTCGTTTTTAACCTGCTACGGTCTACACCGAATTATGGCGTCCATTTAAATGCGTAATCAATAATTAAAATACAATTTTTACTACATTTCTATTCGTTCGAGTGGCGCCGAAAATCGTCCCGCCTGCCGTATTGCCGCCCCCGGCCTAAGGCAGAGTCCGAATGAAGTCTTATTCCGAAAAACAAATTAGTCGAACTGGAAATTACCAATGTCCGAACATCGATATTTTTGTTCGGACCTAAAACGCCTGGAATTTCAGATATACAAGGTCTGTTCAAAAAGTATCGGACCTTTGGTCGGCAAAAATAAATTTATTGACTTTGAGGTACAAAACCCTAATCCCCTTCAAAGTAGTCTCCTTGGTAATGTATACACTTCTCCCAGCGTTCCTGCCATTGCTGGAAACACTGCTGGAACGCATCTTTTGGAATGGTTATCAGCCGGTCCGTCGCATTTCGCACGATGTCTTCTCTCGACTAAATTTGGGTTCCTTTTAGCGGCATTTTCAGCTTGAGAAATAGCCAAATGTCACACGGAGCCATGTGGAGAGAGTACGGAGCGTGACGAACCACGGGAGTATTGTGTTTGGCGACGAAAGCCCGAATCAGATGCGCAGAATGGGCGGATGCGTTATCACAATGGAGCTGCCAAATTTTGATCGACCACAGATCCCATCGTTTGCATCGCACTGTATCGGAAAGACGACGAAGGACCTCCTGGTAGTACTCCTTTGGGATGGTTTGGCCTTGTGGTGCGTACTCACGACACACCACCCCACGAAAGTCGAAAAAACTGTCAACATGACTTTTGATATTGCTGCGGACCTGCCGCGCTTTTTTTGGCCTCGAGGATCGTCCCCGAAAGCCTGCTGAATCTTGCGAATGGTTTACACTCGGGTATCGCCAAGGTTTTTGGCAAAATTTGATGTAATATCGCTGCTCACGTTGTTCAGTCATTTTCCAGCTTAGTGAAATCCGACGAGAGCGCACTACATGACCTCACTCATACGCCGATTGCCAACGACTGACGCTTTCTGCAGGCGGGAAAAAATTCAGGGCTGTGCATGACTGTCCCCTCCACAACTCCACCGAAGGAGGCCTCTCTCGCATCATTGGTTTAAGCGGAAAAAAATAAGGTCCGATACTTTTTGAACAGACCTTGTATAAGAGGTGCGCAAACCGTGGGTGGCCAGAAAATTTTTCGGGGTCGCCAAATTCAAATTTAAAAGTATTTTTCTTTAAATAAATATTTATACCATATGCCTAGATAAAACCGTTGTTTCGTAAAATTGTGTTTTATTCGTACCTCTAAGTCAGAAGCGTAGCGAAATTCTGGGATTTGCGCTTAACCTGTTGTTCGACTTTGTTCAAACGAGGACCTTTAATTAAAAACGAAGACGGCGGAAGAGGTAGAGTACCGTATCTCGTTTCGCTGAAACCCTGTTGTCCGAAAACGGCGTTCCCTTCTAAATCCGCAATCGGGACGAAACTGTTTTCGATGAGAATGCCATTATATCTTATGGGAAACCGAACAAATACGGGAAGGTGGGGCGAGACCAGAACGTTAAGGTTTGAAAAGTCGTAAGATGGCACCACTTTAATGAGAACGATAATTTATTCTCGGCAACTACAACATTTGATAATATATAATACAAAATTTAATTTAAATTAATTGAATATTTTAAAATTATATGTAAATGCACCATCTCGCCCCACCCGTGGGATAAAACGGGGATATTATTTTTATATACAAGAAGGACAAATTAAAACGATTAAACTGTCCTTTTCTTCAATAAAGGCGCGAGAACAGCGCGCCCGTTTATCGCAACGGCTACATTTAGCCCAACTCTGTAAATACAGAGTATAACTTTCCGCAATAGAGGCATTCTGTGTCATTTGTCTTTCGCTTCTTGTTAGGCCTACCCTTGCCGAAGGGGCCGGTTTGTCGTCTCTGCAGCAAAAAAGTCTGCCTCCGAAAATACTTCTAAATTCATAGGCCATATTCGTGGTTAACCCGGGGCTAGACGGGTACCCCATCTTGCCCCGATACTTACTTTGTAGAAACTTTTTAGCGGGCGTAAAATTAGACCAAGTGTTGCTGAAACACGAAAAAGGTATTTTACTTCCAAACAAAGAAAGCGATTTGGACGTTCTCTCGCTCCACGATCCCTTTCGAGGTAGACATTTAGTTCCCCAAATAACAGCTAGATAAAAGAACATTAACCACAAATAAACAGACGTCCCCGTCTTACCCCATCGTCCCTTACTTGTTAACTTTTCTCGGTATCTTACCGTCCAGAGAAATTAGCGAAACTTTCCGGACGTACAGATCATTCGTCGTACTCTCCAACAGTATATTTTTCGGCTGGTAACGGGCTCCGCTAGGGGGTGCAAAAATCCAACAATTCTTGTTTCGCGTATGTAAAACTCTAAAAAATAACGTATATAACACTCCGCAGTCGTATCGCTTAGATTTTACTTAAAGTCGACAAAGACTTCCGCCATATCCAGGAAAAACGCAGAAAGTTTTTTTTTTTTTTTAATTAGAAGTTGAGTAGGAAGCTGAAATTTTGGTGACGGGTAGTTTGGGGCCGAGGCTGGCCCCCAAAACATTGCCGTCCCATTTTCTTTTCTTAAACTCTTTCCGCCCCGTGGGCACTAAGAGGGCCTCTTTTAGCCAGGCATTACGGGTTCGGCCAGGCCCGAACGAAGCGGCGGGGTGGCGAGAGGCACCCGACTTATCGGGACGGTCCACCACTCGACCATTCGGGACTCGTCCGAATTCGATCCCGGATCACCCGAGCGGTAGGTTACCGCCTCGACCGCTCGGCCATTCGTTCGTCAGTTCCGAGCACTGGAGTGATAGCTTATGGATTTTTCCGAATTCAAAAGAACAGCGCCTATCATTCTGTGATTTGTCTATTACGCAACGCTCGATAAGAATTATTTATTACGTAGTTGCTATTGACCAAGCCACTGAGCTAGTGAGCAATCCCTGTATTTTGAAGACTATTTTACGGGCGAAGAGTACGTATCGGTATTCGATCATCTTCGGATTCTAACGAAAACTTTTGAAAACAACTGGATGGTCTCTTCCCATTGAGTCTAGCGAAAGGAATGGCGTTGCGAGAGGACCGAAATGAAAGAAAGAGAACGCTCCAGACGACGACCAAATCCCATCCGACAACGCTCTCCAAGAATAAAGGTAAACCCGCTACGAAATTCTCCATGCCGCGTGCTAATAAGTAAATGGTGGAACATGTCGAACAAGTATATCGTTTAATGTTGAAAGTATTGTATTTTGTCGGTTTACTACAGGTTTCAATTCTTCATTCTTCTGCAAATTGTTCTACGAAACTCGTTTTTTATCCGCTATAGTCTATTCGGCCCGATAAAGCAGGCAATTTGCCAACGAAAGTATCAAATTGGGACGTGACAAAATCTTAAGGTCGCCTAATTTCTTTTCTGGCCAAGTCTCCTGGAAATAAAACTTCATTTCGGCCAATGTCTAAAACACCGTCGGAAATCTTAGGATTGCCGGTCCTTCGGACTTTGCCGTAGCATATTCACGCGCGCACACACAATCAGGAAAGACTGTATATATATATATAAATTAGATTATATAACGGGGCGGCCAAACTTCGTCACGATAGGAGCCACATATAGTCTATCGGAACGGTGTTTTACATCGTATATAGTTAAATTATTATAGTCGTCACCGTTCTACAGTAAAATATCACAGTTACTTTACCGGTATTTAATAACGGGCTAGACAAACTTTAACTCTAGCCAGGCAACCTTAACTTCAAATCGACCGATCCGGGTTAAGTTGCGAGTTACGCCGGTAAACCGCGCTTATGTCGCATTATGTAACAGAAAACATACAAAAATATTGCGTTAGTAGTACATATCTATGCGCTAAGTTTATAAAAATAAATTGTAAAGTACAGTACAGGGAGCCGTAGTTCGGTCACCGTCATTGTATACCTTCGTATGTAAGCCGATAAAAATGAATAAATACGATCATCAACGGTAGGGTCTCGTTTAAGTGAATCCATATACGAACGGCAAACAATTAATCTATCGGATGCACGGGGGTAATTCCGACTATTTTTATTACGAAATTCGACACGTATAGTACAGTCAAAAGGTTAAACAATTTTAACATTTTCCCTCTTGGATTGTAGACGGTCGCGTAAGCGTCGATGTCGGGGACGACCAACTCGAGATACAGAACCCGCACCGAATTTTCAGACTGAATTAAAACAAACCGATATATTTCAAAAATTTCGCAATTGTAGCGTTACGATAAAATTTTGCGGAGACGTGGGAGGCGAATCTCGTTAGTAAATGGTAAGGACGGAATGCGTTTAAATCTAGTAAACTGGTAAAGGTCAACCCACCTTTGTGACTCCGGGAGAAGAAGAAACGCTATCGACTTCGACGCTAATGGAATTCAAATCGCTAATGCTACGAGTAACGCTGACTTCGCCTACTGAAAAATTCCAATTTACTCTTAATAATAGGTTAGAAAAATTGGCCAGAATTTAATTGGGACGAAGAGGCCTCGACCTACCGGTTCCGATGTGGCGAGGGACGTAGGGTACTAACAATCGAGACGTATCGTGTCCGGTATTATGCAGAACTTCGGCCACGGTGGCTTTGTCGAACAACAGACTCTCGTTAATATCGCTTAAAGATGGAATTTCTGCTTTGTTAAATCCCGGCAACAGATACGAAGCTTTCTCCTGACGTGTTTTTATAACCTGAAACAAAATAACAACGTTGTCCAGTCCGTGTTTACACCTTCCATACTTTCATTCTTTACTGCATTGAATTATTATTAATTGTCCATAATTAGCTTTAACATAAGTATTGCCGATAATTTCTGTAAATATCGGCAATACTTATGTTAAAGCTAACTCGATATTAATTAATAAATATTTAACTGGAAATCGTTTGTGGATTACTATTTATGACTGGTTATAACTGGTCTCCCTTTATATCTTAATAAACTAAAGCGTGTTTTTCGATTTAACAACCCTTAATATAAAATATCCCATTCAAAAGAAAATAAAAACAGAAATTGGTTAATTTATTAAAAATTTGGAATTGAAAATTATTAGAAATTTTTCGGTTAACCTTTTTATTTTGAAATACGTTTAAATGTTTATTTATTTACAATATATAAGCAGAAAAATCCCGAAGGACGATTGACATCTGCCTCCAAAATAGCAAATATCGATATAAATAGTAAAAGGAAAGAAACAATGAAATAAAATTTGAAAACGTTTCGAGACCAAGTATTTTAGGAAAAGATTAGAAAAATTTTTAATTTTTTAAAATAAATGTAATTATATCTACCTTATTTGTGCATTTAAGAGATACGACATAACAAAATAAATAGTTTTCTGACGTTTTCTCTTATAAACACAATAATTTAAAAAAAAACAAATTTTTTAAAATATTCGCAAGTTTATAGTAAAGCTAATTTTGTATTTTTTTGCTATTTTAATATTAAAATTGACGACGTTGTTACAGACGTCGGCTTAGTCAACAGGAAACGTTACTTTGTCAAAGGTTAAAAACTATTCATCTGGTTAACATGTTTTTGATGAATGAACATCTTTGTTCTATTCATAATATTTCAAAGTAATGAAATATTAGCGGAAGAAAAGGTTTGGAATAGTTTTATTATTGAATGCATTATTTAATTTGACGTTCCGTGAAGACACATTAGAAGATAAGCGTTTGATTACGTTAGTCGACCGGAAAGACGCAAAAAAACTGACCTTAAGCGAAACTATGTTAATTGGAAAATTAAAAATAAATTGTTCCTCGAATGAAGAAAGCAAACTCCAAAGGAAATAATTTAAAAGTTTTTCTAAACGACAACTTAATGATAAATAATTCTGTATATTATTATTACTGCCGTCGACGGTTAAAAATATATGGCAATTTCTTCATCGTCTAGCAATTAATATCGTAATATCCACTGGCATTTTAATTTATCTAATGATGATGATAACTTTTATTTAAGTTATTTTTATTTTATAAATACTGTATATAAAATGTCTAACTTTTTCAATTTTTGATGCACAACTTTAAATACAATCTAATTATCGTATTGTTAATTACCGACCTACTCCTTGTAATAATAAATTTTCTGTTTAATACATCAATTACGTCCCTCCCAGAATAAACTTGGCATAAATAATACACGCTTACATCTTTCAAATGTCAATGCCAGTTTGATTTCCATAACACTCAGATTTTAGAAATTTCATTTTTACAATTAGCCTGACATTTTAAAAGACGTAAACCTCAAATAAAAATGTACCGGGTTTATTTTCACGAAATTCTTCATTTATTAAAATACATTTAATAATTTGCCAATAATAGCTTTCATTCATTTCACTAAATAAGAGTCATTAGCGATTATAAAAACAATAATATTTTTGATATGCACTAAATGCCATCCGGGTAATTCTGTCAGCTATCAAATGTTGTTTCCTTTCATTACATGGATTGTTTAATGATTTATTAAGTTTACAAAGTTGGCTCTTTATTTAACATGCATTGTTTGTTTTGTTGTACTGTATCGGAAGAAAACTTTTGGTATGCTCCTGCCTTTTATTAAGTGTATAATAACAATACCAAACTTGTAACCTAACCATGAAATAATTGTTTTAATTGTTACTTGCTCTCAATATAATAGTTTAAATTGTTGTAATATTGCTAGAAGACAAATGATACTGGATAAATTATTTATTAATATATACTAATACTAGCTGTTACCCGCGACTTCGTCCGCGAAGGTTTTCCAAGCAAACCCCATTTATATTCAGCATTTCAACAACCATAGTAATTGTTACATAATACCTACCGCTGAGAATGATGAGAATTGCTGAGAATCAAACTGTTTTCAATTTGATCAATTTTTCTGAACGTTTACAATCGTTCTATAATCGAACCGATACGCGATAACAAATTCGAATTTAAAACGGTTCGAACATTTTTAAAATCGAAATGGATAAAAATATTTATAACAATGTCTGAAATGTTATTAATTTAATACACCTAAGTACTCGATGAAAACTATATTCTCTCCCTCACCCCCCGCGGGGAAATTTCTAAAAATCCCTTCTTAGTGTACATTCTCATGGCATACCCTACTACAACGCAGATAAAAACAAAAAAT